GGCTCCCCTCATGTCAATCGCTGGCTGTCAAGACGTTAGTGGTGGGTGGTCCCCCTACCCGTATCCCATCCATCCCGTATCTCTGCATCCGCATCCGCATCTGCACTGCTTGTGGTTCTGGTTGGAAATGGGTATGAGTATGTAGATGCTGATGTGGCTGCGGCGCTTGTCTTGGCATATTTTATGGCAATATTTTTGATATTCCCTGTTAGTCGCTCCAGCCACTTATATGCCAATTTCGCAGCCAAACTCGGGTAAAGTGTAGTGAAGCGGAGCGACTCTGGTTCCTGGCTTTAACTTTTGAGCAAACAAAAGGACGTTTTATAATGGAAGAGCTTAAGCTGCAACCAGAGCTCTAGTCTGCACTCAACATAAAATGGGTTTAAGCTGAGTGAAGCTATATATAAATATTCAAATGGGTAATGGAGATGTGAAGATTAAGCTACAGTTCCTAAACAGAAGAATGCAACTAAACCTAAAATGTATCTACAATATCACAACCTGCTTATTTCTATTATAACCCGAATGCAACGCAAACCCCGTCCAAGTGTTGGGTAAATCGCCATTCTGGCAAACACACACACACAGAGCTTCATGTGATCCCAGCTCCAACGACTCTTCAGCCTGGCTGAGGCACACTTGGAGCCACCGTGACCATATGCCAATCCATCGATCCCGGTTAATGGGCCCTCGACCCGAGCTGACTCCACTCGAAGCGGCTTTGCTGTTTGCCCTCACCGCCATGCGGATGTGCGGAAGTGCGGAAGTGCGGATGTGCGGATGAACGGATATGTGAATGTGTGTCGAGTGTCGAGTGTATGCCGCAGAGAGCGAAAGTCACACGAGTTGGTCGAACAATTGAGCGATTGAGCGCTGATGGAGTTATCCAAAGTGGACGCACATACATGCAGCGTGCACAGTAGGATGTGCCAGGATACGCCTGGTTACGTGCCGCATTAGCGATAATCCCTAGTTTGCCAGATTGCGCTTATGCCACTCGCTTAAATTGAATTGCCACGGCGCTGAGGCAGCGACTTTTAATGCGTTCCATGCAAATAGAGCGGCGGCGATGCCTCCTCCTTCAGCGCACGGACAACAATTACGCGCATTATCCTTTCGACTGGACTCGGACTCGGACACGGACACGGACACGAATCCGGATCCGGATCCCCGGCGATAACACGGCGTTTGCTTAAACAAGCATAAATGCGAAATGCTAAAAGGACACTAAAAACGAGGCGGAAGAAGGTAACTAGTTGCTTCCTGTCCATCGAACAGGGAATGCTCTTGGGAAGTATTTTTTAAAGGGTAATACTGATGTTTTATATTTTGATATGCAGGATTCTCATTAAATATTCCCTAAAATACTGTCAAGATATCTTGTTATTCCCCAATGAGATATATACCCCTAAAATTCTGTCTATTTCCCTTCAACTCTTATGCTATATTTCATTTAAATATCTTTATGAGAAATACTACTCCGCTACTCCCTACTTAAAGCCTATTTAACCAGAACCTCTGTTAGGGTATAAAAGAGTGCTCTGCAATTTTAATTTGGCTAAGTAGCAGCCAGTGACAGACCAGCGCCACCAGGATGCGAATACCTTGTTAGCCAGATGCCAGAATGGAGACGAATTCGACTCAGAGATACCCTGTACTCTTACCATCTCCGAACCTCGTGCCCTTGGACCTAATTCTTTGGTCCGGAATAACCAAGGACCTGCCATTGCCCATCTACCCTGTGAAGCTTGAAAAAACGCTAATTTAATTTTAACTTTGTGCATCCTTTTCTCGGACCTTCTCTTAGTCCTTTCGCTCCGCCTGCTCCTCATACATATATATATATATATCCTTCTGTTTGATTTCGCTGTCAGCGTCTTTGGCACACTTTCGCAGCGCATTAGAGAGCTCTACTTTGTAGGAAAGCCAAAGTCAGAAAAGGAGCCGGCAAAATGAGGACTGAACAAAAAAAAAAAAACCAAAAAAGTAAAAAGGACGATGGAGTAGAAAAAACTGGAAGCGAAAGAGTAAAAGTAAAATATTTGTCCTGCCACGGCCATTGCAAGTGAGCAGCGCTGATTGCGGCACTAAAACGAAACGAGTTCTTGTGCGGCGATAAGATTTCCCCACCCAGGACCTCCCAGGACCTCCCAGGACCTGCCAGGACCCCCGGCCACTCACAAGTTAATCGGTCCGAAGTTTGGCCATCCCCATATAATGCGCTTGCCAAAAACTTTTCGACCCCGGCTCAAAGGCAGTTGGCACCTCGGTCCGCCTTCAGTTATTTACGCAACGACGCCTGAACCTGACAATCAGCAGCAATTTGCCGCAGCTACTCCGCACTTTGCACTCTACAATCCGTCGTCCGTCGTCTGTCCTCGGTCCTCAGCATCCTCATCATCATTCCCATCCGCATCCGCATCCACATCCTCATCCACATCCGCGCTCGCATTCTTATTCAGAAAGCATCCGATAAGCATAACAGTTGTCGTCGTGCCGCCGGCTCGCACCTTAGGTTCTAACATTTTCTGGAATGGGTTCGGAGGGTTTCAGTGATGACCGAAATAAAAGCAAACAAAAAATGTATTAAGCTTAACTAAAATGTTCACAATCGCCAGTAATTTTCAAGTATATATACTTTGTTAGGGTCTTCTAAATTAATCATCTGTGGAAAAATATAAGGTGGGGTTTCGCCATCTCTAGTTCCTTTCGCTGTAAAAACATTTAATTTGTATTTAAAATCTGATTGTGAATAACAATTTTTTCCTTGAATATTTTGTAAATTAAGAAAAATGGTAAATAAAAACTTATACCCTTGCAGGGTATTATAATATCAGTCAGAAGCTTGTCACGTTCGAAGAAATAATTTCCGACCCTATAAATCATATATATTCTTGATCAGCATCGAAAGCTGAATCGATCTAATAATCTTTGGGACCAAACATTTTTTTTCGAATTTTTTTTAATATTTTAAACAAAAAAATAGACAAGTCAAAATTTCAAAAATTGACAAAAATTTCAATTGTTTTAAATTTTAAATTGAGTATGTAGATTTATTAATCTAATAAAAAGTAACACAAAAATGCTTTCCGATTTGAAATTTCTTATTTTTTGGCTAAGCTATGAGTTTTTAAAGATTTGATTTTGTTGAAAAAATTGTCATATAAAAATGTGGATAAATATGATTCATTATGATTATGATTTTTAATTCGTTACAATAATTAAATTAGCAAAGTGTCTTCCCAAAGTTAGTTTCCTTTCTAGTAAAATAAATATTTAAATGAAGGTAATATATTTACCAAATTGTAAATATTATCCCCTATATTCCCCTCGTTTCCTCGTTTAGGAAAATAGGACCAAAAAGGACATATTTTCATCTCTGCCTGTTGGTTTCAGTGGGCGGTTGGGGTGGTTTTGGGTGGGTGACGGAGGGCGGTTGATGGAGGTGAGCCGCTGCCAACAAATCGTCGCCAGCTGGCGGCGACAATAAAACGTTTTACAATGTAACCAGGGCGACGACAAGGACCAGGACCAGGACCCGGACCGGGAACAGGAGCAGGAACAGAAGCAGGCATCCCGAAACCGTGTGGCCATGTGTGGACAACAATGTGCAACAAAGTTCATAATTGTTTATGGCGATGCCTTCGATTTGATTTTTATGTCTTCAAGGGTTTCGGGGGCAGTGATTGAGTGGCAGTCCGGTGAAACGATAAGGGAAGGTCAGAAAAGTCTTTGAAAGATTTAAGGGTGGTAAAGAAACTGGCAAAAGGTGACATTTCCATTTAATAAAAATTCAAGATTCAATAAAGGTTAGTTAGAATAAGTTAAAAAAAAAAAAACTTTAAGGAAAATAAGAGAGAATTTACTTAATTCAGGGTGCACATATAAAATATTTATAAGAGGAATTAAAGATAATCAAATCTACACTAATTGTAGATTAAGTAACTGGAGAAGTTTCTGGAAAGTTAAGCAATTTATATTTAAAAATTGTAAACTGTGCAAATAATAATTACAGAAAAATTAAGGCCATGAAGTAAACATAGACTTTTGCAAATACAACATACAGGGGAATATATAATTTTATTTAATGGAAATTTCCCGGGCATGAGTTTTCTTTGTCTTCGATTTGGAGTTCCTTTAAGATACTCATTTGGCTTAGAATTAGGGATGAAATTTCAGACTATATATATTATTTCTCCCATCCTACAGCCATCTCCCCCATCTTCCCCAACATCCTGGCATCAGTTTGGCTTCATTATATTGAAACTTTGACGTCGTTATTTTGCATAATTTACGCCACGCTTGAATGCAGCAGCCAAGTATATTTCTATAACTACGTCGGCGATGGGGAAATCTGCGAGGAAACTGCGGGGAAACTCTGGAGGAAATATGTGGAAATTATGGAGTAGGGGAAGCTGTAGAGGGAGTGTGCGTGTCGGTTGTCAACGCTACCTTGGCACATGCGAAACGTGAACTTCGAGACATCGAGTTAATGATTCGCACTTGTTCGCCAGCCAAGCCAAGCCAAGTCAGTAATGAAGTTGATTTATTGCATTACAAGGTACCCGGAGTTTCCTTTTGATTCCGTTTCCAATTCCGACTTCAAATTTTCCTAAGAATCGCAACTCCTTTTATTGTCTGGGTGCATTGAACTCTGCACAGGAATGCCCCGTTCCCGGGCGCAGGAAATAAAGACCAAAATAGATGCATTGTGGCTGTGGGAAGCCCAGCTGAGATGCATCTGTTCTGTTTAGTTCCGTTAGATCGAACCACTTCCTAGGCGTAGCTATAAATAGAAGATAGTGCCCCGATAGAGCCTCCATTTCCAGTCACGCGTCTGCGATTGGCAGCCGTCTCCTTGCTAAATATAGAATGTGGAGAAGTAGGACCGCCAGCCACCCAAAAAAAAAAATAAAAAATAAGGGAGACGGGAGTTTGGGGAGTCTGAAAAGTCTCGGGAGTCTAAAGGGACTGGAGTCTGGAGTATCCAGTTCAGTATATCGAGAAGCGCCATGGAGTGCAGAGCCGTTCCCATTCTTCCCACATACTCGCAAGCCTGGTTCGTAGTGTTACCAAATTAAAAATTAAAAGAAAAAAATGGAAATTATATATATCGTGTACTCTACAACACGAATTTATAGTACAAATTAACAGAAAAATGGGTACATCCAACAATTTAATATTAATTAAACCAACTATACCTCATTAGTGGCACCTACCTGCCTCGAAAGCCCTCCCTCTGCCGGACTCTCTTCGATTATGGACCTTTGAATGATCCTGTGATTATCCTTATAACTCTTGCCGTAGTCGTGGGATCCTTTTGCCTGCTCAGCGGCTTTATACTACTCTGTGTAGTCTCTAAGGCCTGGCAGGACGAAACCTCTGAGGCTATTCTTTTGATAGGTGAGGATGAAAGGGTAAAATATATGTATAATTCTTTAGCTAAAGTTACTTTCCACAGCGATTGGCTTTTTTATTACTGCTCTGTCATGTGTTTCCTGGAAATTGACGAGGGCCCAGCGAATCAGTCAATTAGTGGAGGCCATTAGCGTGGAGACACAGACGATCTGACGTCGATATATATAATCCTAAACAAACTTGTAAATTATTCATGTAGCCTAAGTAAAGCAATAAAGTATTTCTTTATGTCTATATTAATGAAATCCTTAACGAAATACATACTAAAATGTAATTCTAAATCTATATCTGTGTTCCAAATGCTAACAAGTATGGGGAGTCCTGGTAGGCGGAGATGTTGCAGTAGGGTAGAGATGAGGACTCGCCAGTTTCAACTCCAAAACCACAATCAAGCACAGTGCCAGGAACAGAAACCGCAGAAAAGTCATTTCACCATCGGGTTCACTTTGCAAATGAGGAAATAAATTAATAGTTTTATATAAAGTAATTCCACAGAGGGTTGTGTAGTATACATATTTTTTTCTCAATGCTTTCTTTTCCAATGAGTTATTTCCTTTTTGTGACCCTGATTGCGAATCGTAGGTAAGAGTATCCAGAACTGATCCCTCTTTGTTTTCTGCCATGAGGTTTCCCTTGGCGGGAAACGAAGGCAGCTGTTTAAGGGACTACCTGAGGATACCCTCCTGGTGGCAGTTCAGTTCAAAACGAGATTTCGTCGAAGGATGCCGCACTTGCAGAACATCGAGCGGGAATTTCCCCTGCACTGGGCCTTGAATCCAAATGTCATCTCGCATCTATATGGAAAAGTATCTAGAAAACTATGGCGCTGTTGCACTCAACTCTGTCACAGTCCCAAGTTTCGACGCTATGTCCGGTAGGTCTTTTTCTATATTTTCTTAACAAAAATCCGACTTCAAGTGTTTCTCTTAGCTTTCTAGAGTCCAGTCTGTATCAGGTTTAAACTGACATCGATACCAGAGCAATGATCTAACACAAATACGCAGCAGCTTCGAATTAATATGTTGGGAATCTCCTCACGTAGACGATGCCAAAATGAATTGTTTGAATTCCATTACGGCCTGGCTCAGAGAGTCAGTCAACGATCTTCGTTTTGAGCAGCAGAAGTAAATATATGTATATATAATATAAAAAAGAGTGTCCCAACCATGGATATACCAGGCAGTTCGTTAAAAAATATAATCAGTAAAATAGGATACGAAATATTGCATAGAAACAGCTCAATATACTTATTTTTTCCTTTTTTTATTTATGATAGTAGACGAAATACTATTTTGAGTTGGCACTGAAATTGGTTAAACTTGGTTTAGGTGGATTGTAATTTTTAAGTGGAATAGTAGTTTAAAGTCAGCCATTTATGAGTCTAAATATTAAGGTACTAGCATGTTTTTATCTTATTTTTATATACTCATAATATACAGAAAATTAACTACTTTTATATAAATACAGATCTTATAAAACACTTATAATAAAATGTTTAATATGTAATAATAATAATAATAATCATTGTCTTTTTGGTCTACGTGTTCCATTTAAAATATGTGTGTTCTTTGTATATTAAATAGATATTTCGATATTATAATTTTTTGGCTTAATTAGGGTTTTTCAAATATCATAACTAAGCCAAAAATGCATTAATTTCAATTCGGATAGTTTTTCTTTGCTAGTTTTTATTGGGCTAACAAATCTGTATACTGAGTCTTCAAATTTAACAAAATAAAATTTTTGATACATTTTTGACAATTTTAAAGATTTTAACGTCTTATAAAATTGTGAAAAAAATTTGGAAAATTTATTTTTCCCTTAGACATGGCTAGATCGATTCTGCTGTTAATGCTGATCATTAATATATATGATTTATAGGGTCGGAAATGACTCCTTCACTGGATAGCAAGCTTCTGACTAAAATTATGATTATACTTGGGTATAAAAATACCCCAGTGAGTGACTTGATCTTTACTCAAATGATCACGAGAACAATATACCTCGTTCTCGGCAAGCATCGAGTATTGAAACCATATTTTTGTGGCATCGTTAACTGTGCTGTGGTGCATGGATGACGCCAGCGGATCGGGGCATTTACCAGGCCAGACACTGGGAAACTACCCCACTGTGGCGATCTGGCGACAAGCCCGCAATCCGAGCACCTGCTTGGGGAAAACACGTCGTCGGGAACTGCCATAAATTCCGGGTGCTATCACAGCGAGCGCTCAGTCTTGTTCCACAGCCAGACGTGCAAAGATTGCTTTTATAATAATAACAAAAAAAAAAGAAATTAAACAAGTATCGGAATATGGATATCTCCATAGGATTTGGATTCCTGAATGGCGCTCTCAGGGCGCTAATCGCCGGAAGTCTGCTGCTCCTGATGACCGCCATTTACCGCGATGACAACGATTCCGGCTCCCATTACATTCATCCCCGGCATGCCATGCAGCATGGCTAAGTGCTCCTCCTCCTCCTCCTCCAAGTATCGGAATATGGATATCTCCATTGGATTTGGATTCCATGCAGCATGGCTTAGTGCTCCTCCTCCTCCTCCCCCTCCTCCTCGTTCTATACTCTCCAGAGAGTTAGATCTAAGTCTAGTCCATTGCAGCCAAGTTTGATCGGTGTTGCGTCGCCAAAAAAACCTGTTTTGAACGCGATGCCGGTTCGTCGACATATCGCGAATTAACTGCAAAAATAACGTAAGCCGCATTCTCTTCACGCAAAGAGGATTAATTAAGAAATGCCGACAAATGGATCGCCTCAAAAGAATGATGTATCTGAAATGACACATCTAAATTAGTATTTAAATAAGTGCAGTGAATTTTTATTATTATGCCAGAATATATTTTATTGTAATAAAGTGAAACAAATGCAAATGAAATTAAATATGGTTTTGTTTATTTAAGCATTTATATAGTATCGATTTAATGTTAATATTCTTCTGTCTACTTTGTTTTCAACCTAACATTTAATACTAAATTAATGATATAGGTCCCCCTTAGAATTTTTATTTTTATTTATCTTAGATCGAAAATATTAAAAAAACAACCAATAAATATTTATGGCGTTAAAATGTTTGTTAGCAAAATATATAGAAAATGAATACATTCTTTCTACCTCTCTAAAACGTATTTAAGCACTCTTTGTTCTTGATCATATATCTGTTTTTTATGCTGATACGCTCAGTGGCGTTGAGTCAACTCACATCTGGTAATACTAATACTATATGGTATGGGATCAGGCGGTTCTCGGGGCCGTTGAAAATCGATTAGCAAGTGAGGAGTACTCCCCGCAAACGAGTTGCAATGTCAAGGGAGCGAGTTTGTTTACTGCAACAGTATTTATTTATTATCAGCACGTGTAAAATAACATGACTCTCAGCTCCGTCACGAATATATGTATATATCTCTTCTTTCCCTGACACACTTTAGAACCCCACAGTTATATATTGTTATTATTATTGAAACAAGTGAATGATACTCTTTTGCGCTAACTGGTTTTATGAACATAAAATTATGTTTTATTGATGATTAAGGTTGATATTGAGATGCTAACAGAGTATAGTTTATTGGCAAGATATATAATAAGAATTATCATATATTTTTGGATGGAATATATTTATTTTTTTTTAAACACAGTTTTTAGTGCTGATTTTACATTCGACCATTTTTACATTACAGTGATTTTACATTAGCTTGGTTTTCAGCCATTTGTGTTCTAGAAACCATATACACCAACCAAAGAACGTTTCCATTGTTAGCGATACACTGGAAAACAAACATACATTTGTATCATGTTTATGTACAAATATATAATTATCTAAATATAGATATCAGAAAAGTATATACATTTATAATACAATAAAAAAGAAAAATTTTAAAATGCATTGTTCAAGTTGGACTTTTCATCTTTGGATCCCTTCGGAAAAGCTACAAAAATTACTGATCGAAGTGTTATTTATTTAATTAAATTGAAAAGTTTATCAACCTACATACATATACAAAAACACAACTTTCCATAGCCCAAATCTGACTATATTGGACGGTAGAAAGTGGGTCTTCTTCCGAGGGGCAGCCTCTCTGCTGTCCTTTCCGGTTCTGGAATGCCGAACCTTTGGACAACGCGCTTGATCCAATTACCGTGGCTCAGAACATCGGTGAGAATACTGACATTATTGCAGCCACGGTTGGTGAAACTGGCGATGCCCAGCTGAACGTAAACCCGACTATTGCCGTACGACATTTCCCGGCCCTGAGGGCCGCCAGAGTCGCCATTGCATAGATTGCTGTCGTCATTTCCGGAGCAAATTATCATGGACGACATCCGCTTGCCAAACATCCTTTCACAATTATCGTATGGCCTCCGGTTGATTCTGAGCTCCTGGAGAACGCGAGCCGTCTTATTTGTATGGGTTATGCCCCAGCCGGTGGCATTGAACCATGTAAGCCTATCCACCAGCGGCTTAATTTTTGAGTCAACAAACACACAGATGGGTTGGATGTGGGCTGTTGGAGATGATGATGGGGATACATTTGTATTTAAACTTCTAAATGGGATCTCACCTTTGTATGTAACCCGACGATCAAGACGCAGCATTCCAATATCGTTGGTGTGTTGCTTAGTATCATAAAATTTGTGCCTGAAGGCCATGCTCACTTCGTACTCCTCGGCGGGATCCATACACAAGTTTTCCAGACAGTCTTCCGCTTTGTCTCTGTTGTACTCACCCAGTCTAACCGTTCTACAAAATAGTAATAATACTTTTCAGTTAGTAAACTACCAATTTACATTAGCTCTTTAAAATATTATATAATCATCATCTTAGGTAAGATACACATTTTCCCTGATTTGCATACTTACAGTTGAATGTCGTCATGAATACAATGAGCTGCCGTCAAGACGAACCCTGAAATGAATGTATATATAAATATTTAATTTATAAATAAATATTGGAAAATTGCTTAAGTTCCTACATACAGTGATTGATTAGGGATCCTGCACAGGTGAAATGAGTGGGCGTGTGTAAGAAAGCCATCCAGGGATGTGCTCCTAACTTGGCATTGAAACCGTTGATAATCTTTGGCCCAGTCTGATCTTTGAAAGTTAAGCCGCAATCTCTTTCCAGAAGCTGGAATCCATCTTCTTCTTCAGCGGAGAGTTGCGGGCAAATAAATAAAATAAACACTGCCACGATTGCGGCAATGGTACACCGCATTTCACTCCAAGCCATCCTGAGATACTGGTACCTCCATAGCGGAGAGTTGTTTATTTTAAAAGCACTTGGATGGCTGTTATCAGTGATTATATTCTAGAATTCTAAGAATAAAAGCCGATTCTCTTATTATATAAATTTATTTGGTATTTTGAGCCGAAGTCATAACCTAAGACTGATCTGTGACCTACTGCATAGTAGAGTAATAGATACATTATATACCCCTCCCATTTTCATCCTCATAATTTTTTTGATTCTTTATTTTATTATGGAACGCACCCCCTCCTATGATTCAGTTAAATATGAGTAGGTTTATTTTGGTAATATTTAAAGTTGCAATATAATTTAAAATTAAATTAAATAATATATTTCAAAGAGTTTTGAAAGTTTGTGTTCGCATTTTATTTTTGTTTTTCATATATCTTCTCGTTGGAGTTGTTGTTGTTTTTCGTTCCTCATTGTGGAACCAGTTGGAAAGACAACAGGCTGGCGTAGTCTTTGATCCACCGAACCGCCATAGAAGTACACCGATTTTAGGATCCACTCGGAAAAGTGCGTCACATTCGTGTAGACGCGCTTGCTCAGGCAGTCCAGCTCGTTGTGACTGGCAATGCCGAACTGAAAGATAGAGTCCATCATGACATGGCTCAAGGGTGAACCGGAGGGACCATCACAGGAGCTATTTGACTTTTGGTTCCATCCACAAAACTGAAGGTTATCCTTAACCGTATGGCCATCTTGGCATTCGTTTTGGCGCAAGCGCGTAATGTTTATGGCGTACCAATTTCCGCCCTTGAAATTTTCTCGATCCGGCCTGTCATAGGCGGTTCCGGTGAACTCGTGGATGCTGCTGTCGATCCACGACAAGTGATCTGGAGATGGGTCCACAACTATGCAGATGGGTTTAATGTGATCTGTGGAAAATGATCTCAGTCAGGGTTAGCGGCTCGCCAATAGCTTCCGAAAGGTTTCTACCTTTATACTGCACCGGCCTAGCGAGCCGCAACAGGCCAATGTCATTCTCCAGTGTCTCCTTGTTGTATCGACGATGTCTGAAGGCCTTATCCACAAAATAATCCTCCGGTCGCTCATCATTATTTAAACGGTCATATTCCCCAAGACGAACTTGTCTGCAATAATCAATATTATACATCCAACTTCGGCTGACAAAATAATTACTCACAGGTTCTCACCCTCCCTAATACAGTGCGCCGCTGTCAAGATAAATCCTAAAAGACAAGCCATATATGTAATTTAGTGATCAGTCCTTAAAAACCTACATTATTTAATACGCACTTCTATGAATGAGGGTTCCAATACAGACTAAGCGTGTGTTCTCATGCAACAGTGCTGTCCAAGGACCTAATGTTTGTGGGAAATGCCCATTTCGCCTTTTTCCGCAATTGGGCTCAAGGACCTCGCTTGATCCCCAACCCGATCTCGGAAAAATTACTAGCAGACTGGCGAGCAAAGCAATAACACTTGAAACGCGAAACATTACGATCGAAACAGCGCGTAAATACTGAAGTTATTCCAGAATCGACTCTCCTATGTATACCATATATTATCAGTTATCAGCCTGTCTCGAATCGATGGGTTCTTGGGGTCAGCCCGACCTACAGTCCTACAAAAAATTGCTAAGTACGCCTCTTTTTGTTAGGGTTTTTTAATAACAAAAGACATATTTATTATAAGTTTTATAATATTTTAATTTTGAGTTTCTGGAACAAGGAAATACAAAATGTAAAATATATAAGTATTTTATTGAGAGAGATTTCGGATAGCCCGAGATATATTTTTGGTATATTTGTTTTTATATACATACTCCTTAACCAATAATGATATAATAATGCTAATCTTATATATATGCACATATATATGTTAATGTGTGTAATAACAGATGCCTGCCTCTGTCTATATTCTTTGAATTCAAAGTAATCTTATAATGCATTCGAGATAATAAAGACCATGGGATCATCATTTTATTTGCTTCTCAATATGTTATATATATGTAAATAAATTCCAAGGAAATGGCTCAACTTTACTGTACTTCTTTCCGTTAAATATATTTTTCGCACAAATCATAGTATAATTTTATTTAAGGTATTCATATTTTTCTAACGAATTATATAATCATCCTTTAACCAACTCAACCATGAGAATGCTTTCGGATCCTTGGCTTCCTGATGAATTTCGAGCATATCCAGCAACAAATCACGGCTCTTAATGGCATTATAGTCTTATCAGTGTTTACTCGGAGATATCTATTTTTTTCATCATGTTGTCTGTGAAATATTTGTGGAGCGGATCAAATGAATCAAGAAATATAATTTCAATAAATTGGCTTCAGTTGCTTCACACAGCTGTCGTTGTGATGACGTGCTTTACCGGTGTAGCTCTTGTCCTCGGAGTATTCTGTCTCGCGATCTCTGCCGAATATTTGGAGCCAAATTGCGGCATTGGGGACAATCCCATGGGATTTCGAATATTTAACGGCACAGACGCACAAATCAATATCCATTCATGGATGGCCTATCTGCATACTTTCAACAGATTCGTTTGTGGTGGCACTCTCATTCATCCACGTAATTAATTCCTCCAAAATGGTACCATTTTCCACCCTATTGTAATTGATATTCCCCGACAGGCTTCATCCTCACTGCCGCCCACTGCTTGCAGCCTGGATTGTGAGCTAATTAACTATTAATATATTGTTTGTATATTGTTTGTATATTGTTTGTATTCATATGTTTGATTTGAGCAGGAAGGCCCGCCTTGGCGAATATGATTATATGACCAGGAGAGATTGCACCGTTCACGGTTGCTCTCCAAGATCGGAGGAGCACGACATTGACATGTATATACCGCACGGATATTTTTCCTTAAAAACGGGAGCCAATGACATTGCGCTGCTCCGTTTGTCGCAGTCGGTGGAGTACAAGGGTGTATTTTATGCCCAGATATAACAATTAAATCGTTAATTAAATACTGTTTCTCCTCTCCAGAGCACATAAAATCAATTTGCATCATCTTGGATCCCTGGGAGAGGCCGTATCTCCCTTACCTCAAACATTTCATCGCCACAGGCTGGGGCGAAACTGGAAGAAGCCGGACCCGTGGATCGCTCCAGGAGGTAACCTTACAACGCTACGCACCCGAGCGCTGCGAAGCTCGTTTCACGAGGGTCCTGCAGGAGGATCAATTTTGTGCGGGCAGCCCCTACGGCGACACTTGTCAGGGCGACTCCGGAGGACCGCTCGGCCAGAGCTTGACCCATAACGACGAGACGCGATATGTCCAGTTAGGAGTGGTTAGTTACGGGAGTTCGGAATGCTCCGGCGTCGGGGTGTACACGGACGTTGTTGTCCATACGCCGTGGATCCAACGTATGGTCCAAATGTACAACAGAAAATGATTTTATACATTTGCCATTGTATTTGTATATATGTAGCTTCTCCTGCCTTAAGGTTATTAAAGATTTAATAAATTTTCCAATTTTTTTAGAACGATTATTAGCTTATCAGACCTAGAATATAATGTATTCCTACTACTAAAACCTTGACCTAAGGTTAGATCCCAGAAGTGCGGCCTTCAGTATTTTTGGCACTATTTTATTAATATATTTTGTCACTGGAAACAGGCTTCTCGCCTGCCTGCTTTTCGTGCTCCTTCGTCTTCAGTCGGGATCCGCACAATTTCTTTGATCCTGACTGCGAAATTCGAGCACCTTCCATCAGGATTTCAAATGGCATCATCGCTGAAATTACCTACCGAGTATTTAGCATTAAATTGTCTGAATTTTAATGAATTCATTCCCAGAAATTCCCAGAAAAGAGAAATCAATAAAATGAACATTAACATTTTGACCCATCGAGGCACTGATAAGGTGGGTATTAATACCAGACTCTCAGTCGTTTGTCAGACATTTGGAAGATGAATACCACTGCAATTGGAAGTATTTTCCTCGCCTGGCTGTGGGTCCTGCTTCTCCTTCGCCCTCAGCCAGGATCCGGGCAGCTCCTGGACGCGGCATGCGGAATTCGTGCTCCCCCAATTGCTTCCGAAGTGATCCGCGGCAACATTGCGGGATTGACCTCTAGTCCCTGGATGGTATTTCTTCATTCGACCGACAATATGTTCGTTTGCGGCGGATCCCTGATCACTCCCCGTTCGTATTGATCCTTGTAAATGTTTCTACCAATAATCTATATAATTCATTCTCTTTTTCAGGACTAGTACTAACGGCAGCGCATTGTTTTTTACCCAACACACAACTGTAAGTTTCCCTTTTGTTATAGAAATATATACATTTTTTATATTTCTTGTGACTTCTTCCAGGGTTGCTCGTCTGGGAGAGTACCAAAGAAGCCAGGATGACAAGTGTCATAACACTGCGGCGGGTCCTTACTGCACTGTCCGAGAGGAGCACTATATAGACGCTGTCTTTAAGCATCCGCTCTATGATACGGCAACGCAATCCAACGATATTGCCATTCTACGAATGATAAACCCTGTGGTCTACAAAAGTGAGTTTTCTTATATCTTGAGAACTAAAGCTTATAGAATATATTTGTATTCCTACCCTGCCCAGACAACATAAAGCCCATTTGCATCGTCTTGAATCCCAGATGGAGAAACTATATCGATAACCTTACTTCCCTCGTCGGCACTGGATGGGGCGGCGACAGCGATTACCTGATGACCAGGAGAATGCCCCGCCAGGGTCCTGAGATCTGCACCGAGTATATTAGGAGTCGTCCCCTAGCGAGTAATCAGTTTTGCGCCGGCAACATGAAAAACAATATGTGCAACGGCGACGGCGGCGGTCCGCTGGGGGCAATGGTTCGGATCGGAAATCAAACGCGTTTCGTCCAAGTCGGCATTGCCAGCTATACGAACCGGCATTGTACCCTTGCCGCCGTTTTCACGGACGTCCTGAGCCACGTGGACTGGATTCTCAAGGTGGTGCGAAATCATGGCGATGGTCAGCCTGCGCCACAGCAAGCTTGATCGAGGCAACCGCAAGGGAGAGTTCAATCACAATGAAGGCGTTCTCTGGTGGAGGAGAGCAACCAATTAATTAATTTGAGTCAAAAGTGTGCAAAGCAGTCAAGCATTTATTTCCGACCCTATAAATCGTATATATTCTTGATCAGCATCAAAAACTGAATCTTTCTAGCTATCTCCGGTAGAAAAAAAACTGTTTTCAATTATCATATTAATATTAGCATAACAACAAAAAAGAATGTTAAATTCGATACGCCAAAGTTTATATACCCTTGCAGATAAAACTTCGATGACTAGGAATCAATAACACATAAATATATATATATTTCTATGTTAAAAAACAATATACATATTATATTTACAGTTTTACATTCACAGTTTTGCAATTTCCTCAATATCAATGATCGTTTGTATGGCAGCTATATGATATAGTAGTCCGATACTCAAAAAGTTTTACACAAAATGTTAGAGAAATAAAGAATGGCTATATCTCAAATTTGATCAAATTCTGTTGAGAACTGAAAATTTTATAAAATTCTTTTGTACAAATTTTCCGATTTTTCCTATGGCAGCTATATGATATAGTCATCCGATCCTGCCCGAGTGAGAGTATATAGAAGAAAAACTGCAAAGTTTCATTCAGATAGCTTCAAAACTGAGAGACTTGTTAGCGTAGAAATGGACAGACGGACATGGCTAGATCGATTCGGCTGTTGATGCTGATCAAGAATATTTGTACTTTATATGGTCGGAGGTGACTCATTCACTGCGTTGCAAACCTCTGACTGAAATTATAATACCCTACAAGTTTAAAAAGATAGCTTTACATTGCTTATTTATTATTGCATTATTGAAACATACAATGAAATGTTTTTATCGAACGACTTTGCCGTTCTCCGACTGGCCCGCTACATCACCTACAAAGGTAAGATCGTGCTTGTGATATGAAAAGGATAACTATTACCCAAATACATATTTATAGCTAACATCCGATCCATATGTAAAGTAAGACTCGAGAACCTTTGTGGACGGTTCCGAAATTCTTACCGCCACTGGTTGGGGCAAGACGTAGAGCGATTTAGACAGAAATTACCTAAGGACTTTGGAAATTAGTCGCCAGCCTGAAAGGCTGGATCCATACCATTATAAGACTATCTATCGTTTCCAATAACAACAACAATGACCTAGAGAGTTGGATTATCCATTTTCTTATTCGAGAAGAATACTTCTTAGTAAAACATAAAGTTTTCTTGTTAGCATTAAATTGTCTGAATTTGAATGAATTGAGTTCACAAAGAAAGAGACTGACTGCTCTTTGTGAAAACAATAAAATGAACATTAACATTTTGACCCGTCGATGAACTGATAAGCTGTTTATTAATACCAGACTCTCAGCCGGCTATCAGACATTTGCAAGATGAATACCACTGCAATTGGAAGTATTTTGCTCGCCTGGCTGTGGGTCCTGCTTCTCCTTCGCCCTCAGCCAGGATCCGGGCAGCTCCTGGACGCGGCATGCGGAATTCGTGCTGCCTCTATTGCCTCCAAAGTGATCCGCGGCAACATTGCTGGATTGACATCTAGCCCCTGGATGGTATTTCTTCACTCGACCGACGATCGATTTGTTTGTGGCGGAACTCTGATCACTAACCGTATGTATTGATCCTTCTAAATGTTTCTATTAATAATATATATTATTAATAAACCTTTTCAGGACTAGTACTAACGGCAGCGCATTGTTTTCTACCCAACACACAACTGTAAGTTTCCCTTTTGTTATAGAAATATATACATTTTTTATATTTCTTGTGACTTCTTCCAGGGTTGCTCGTCTGGGAGAGTACCAAAGAAGCCAGGATGACAAGTGTCATAACACTGCGGCGGGTCCTTACTGCACTATTCGAGAGGAGCACTATATAGATGCTGGCTTTAGGCATCGGCTCTATGATAAGGCAACGCAATCCAACGATATTGCTATTCTACGAATGATAACACCTGTGGTCTACAAAGGTGAGTTATCTTATATTTTGAGAACTAAAGCTTATAGAATATATTTGTATTCCTCCCCTTCCCAGACAACATAAGGCCCATTTGCATCGTCTTGAATCCCTCGTGGAGAACCTTCATCGATAACCTGACTACCCTCGTCGCCACTGGGTGGGGCAGGACCCATAATGAGACCGACAGCGATCACCTGATGACCCTGAATATTGCACGCCAGGATCCTGAGATCTGCACCGAATATATTAGGAGTCGTCCCCTAGCGAGTAATCAGTTTTGCGCCGGCAACATGAACAGCAATATGTGCAACGGCGACTCCGGCGGTCCGCTGGGGGCAATGGTTCGAATCGGAAATCAAATGCGTTTCGTCCAAATCGGCATCGCCAGCTATACAAACAGGCAGTGTGCCTATGCCAGCGTTTTCACCGATGTCCTGAGCCACGCGGACTGGATTCTCAAGGTGGTGCGAAAATATGGCGATGGTCAGCCTATGCCACAGCAAGCTCGATCAGATAATTATTTGTGGATGAGGCAACCGCAAGGGAGAGTTCAAGCACAAACAAGGCGTCCTCTGGTGGAAGGTAACAACCAAAGATTTAGTCAAAGCTTCAATTATTTCACGACATGGCCGGTAATCTGGTAGGACCAGACCTTGTGCTAGGAGGATAATGAACAAGCCACTGTTCATGTACATTATGCCTGAATGTGTATATATTTTAAAATGAATTAAAATTCGAGCATTAACATTCATTACGTCATGTATTTACTTGAATATTATTATAAATATATAATTATGTCAATATATTTGATCTGTAAATTTATTTAAAGAAAGGGTAACACGCTCTGTTCTTCCAGTGTATTATAATTTTAGTCAAGATTGTGCAAAGCAGTTAAGGATTCATTTCCGACCCTATGAATCATATATATTCTTGATCTTATATTGATCTTATATTTTAATACTAAGCTTGTTTCTTTGCTGGGTCTAGTTATCTTTATAAATTTATAACTTTTGTCCTTAAAGACACACATGGCGTATACTTAATTTAAGTGTTTTCACGTTAAGTATACGCCATGTATGCTTGATTTTTCTGACATCGAAAACTATTTTTATTCCCTTTCAGGGTATTATAATTTTAATCCGAATACTATAATTATGTGAAGGAGTCATTTCCGACCCTATTAATCAAATTTATACTTAATCGGCATCAACATACGAATCTTTCTAACTAAAATCTAATTTTTATAAGGGGTTACATCGTTAAAATTGTCAAAAATTTATTAAAATTTTAAAGTAATAAATTGAGTATGCAGATTTATTGCCCTAATAAAAACTAGCAAATTGTTTGGCTTAGTTATGAAATTTTAAAAACTGATATGAACCATCATTAATTGTTTATTATAATTCTCAGTATTTATATATTTTATAATTCTCAGAAAAATCTGTTGTTTGCTTACAATGATAACACACGTTCCGGATTCGGGATGAAAGCTTAATCGAGGTCAAGAATCGGCAGATCGCTCTCTCTGTTCCAAGAAAATCAAATAAAATCACTGCATTCTTCGGATGATAAGAGAACTCGGAACATAATATACCGAGTGATCGTAGCTGAGATGGGTTCAGTTAGCAAGAGGCCTCCGTCGTCATGGCAACCTTCAGGAACTCAATCTCGATTGTCGTGGCAGCCTGCAGCCTGATCTTTCAGCTCCATGGAGTGCGGGGAGTGGAATTTCTAAAGTCCATGTGCGGTGTTTCCTATCCGGCCAGTACGACATCGAGGATTATGCACGGCACAGTTGCAAAATTTGGATCGGCCCCCTTCATGGCGTATTTGATTCGAAATCAGGAACTCCACTGTGGCGGGACGATCATCCATGAAAGTACGTAGATCGCCATCGAAGCTTGGACTTGTGCTAATTGGTGTTTTTTTACGCATTCAGGATACATCCTGACGGCTGCCCACTGCATCGAGAGTGGCATGTGAGTGACATTTTGTTTATATAGGAAATACATTTAAATATTGTTTATTCTGCGTTTCAGCACTGTTCGTGTGGGCGAGTACAATACCGACACAAATCCCGATTGCTTGGGAAATACTTGCTTTCCCAAATATGAGGACTTTCAAATTAAGGCTGTTTTAAGAAATAGAAATTATGTGGCCAGGGACTTTGTCAACGACATTGCTCTGCTCAAGCTAACCAGAGATATCCAGTTTAATCGTAAGTTAAGCGTAATTCCCCTCTAATAGAATATATAATTTTTACAATATCTCAAAACAATCTTCTACCACCTTTCCCCAGTTCACATTCAGCCCATCTGTCTACTCCTAAATCCGGCACTTGTGCCCAACAGGAGGCAGTGGCAGGCCTTTGGCTGGGGTAAAACCCAACGGGGGGTGTCGTCTAGTGTGCTCAAGACCACGATGCTGGATCACTATCCAAACTCTCACTGCGCCCAAAGGCTGAACGTTCAGCTCACCAACAACCAGGCCTGTCTTGGACACCAGCAAACGGACACTTGCGCCGGCGACTCTGGCGGACCACTGGTGATCCAGATTAATGTAACAGGAGTGATTCGTTACCTGCAGCTGGGCATAGTTAGCTTCGGTGATGAATTGTGTCAAAGTCCTGGAGTGTACACATATGTGCCTAATTATATAGGCTGGATTCGGAATGTTATTCGGACGCTGGGATAATGTAACACTCTATTTTTATTCCTATCTCTGGAGAAGCTGATCCTACCACTCTTCGTTGATGAACTACATATATTTAAGCTATCTAAATATATATTTTGTGTCACAAATGCAATTATAACATATGATGTACCCTTTCCACCTCTCCACTTGGCTGAGTAATGGCTAACCATCGCAGGTATCGATACTGGTTCCTCCAAAGGGGGAGGGTTTACCCTCACTACTAGGGGTGGCTGTTAGCCTGGTCGAAAACAGGGTCAAACACCCGCCTGGCAGCCATGGCAACGGGGCCAGGACACGGTGGGATTCGGGCGGGTGTGGCTAGCAGCTTTTGTTTACAATCAGTAGTCCAGGCAGAAAGTGTCAGGATTGAAGCGAGTTTATTTACCAAAATGAGCACGCGGAATGTAATGATCACAGACCTGGATCAACCGGATCCCGAGCCGCCGAAGCGGAACCGGAAGGTGCTGCATACGCTCTCCGGGAACTTTAACCGTCGTTCGCGCAGCGTCGAAGTGGAGGCAAAGCAGCGTCAGGAAACCCTTGGAATCGGTAATAAGGATCGTAGGAAGGACCGCTCTTTCAATTCGCTGGTGAGTCCAAGTCCACTATCCAGTGACAACACCCATTTCCAAATTTCCCATTTCCAGCTGCAGGCCAAGGAGCAGCAGTTGGAGCAACTTGTCCAGCGACTCTCCATGCTGCATCGATACAACGATCAGTTCGCCAAGGAGAATGAGCAACTGCGCCTGGACAGTGGTCAATTGGAGCGCCGCCTGGCAGAGGCTGAGCAGCAGGTGGCCAATTGCACGCGCTGCCAGCAGCTTGGCCACCGCCTAGACACAGTTCTTGGCCAGAATCGTTCGCTGGCCAGCGACGTGGATATGCTAAAGACGCTTGTCTTCCGGCTCAACGTACAGATTGAAAGCTATCAGGATCAGAGGCGTCACAATGATGAGGCTCCTGTTGCCGGAGGCTCCGCCGGAGCCAGCACATCCTACCCACCTCTGCCTACACACACGCTGGGACCCCTCCTACAGGCCTACGATGAGTCTCTTAAAGACAAGGATGCACTTTTGTCCCAATTTAGTACCGAATTTGAACACTTTACCGGCGAGTTAAAGCGAACTCTAGAGGAGAACACCAAGCTTGTGAGAAGCGCACATATTCTACCTTCTTTTATACCCATTTAATCGCAACTAATCCCTTCCAGCTTCAAGCGCAGGAACAACTACGCCGTGATCTAGGCGGCTGGCGGGAGGAGCGTGTTTGCCTGCAGGCCCAGTTGGGCGTGTGCCGGTCCAAGGCTGAGGCTCAAACCCGGAAGACGGACTTGGCCAAGGAGAAGCTGGTGGAGGTGATGCATTGCTACGAGCAACGCATTCAGACGCTACTCCTGGACATGGATCACTTGCAGGCGGCCTATGCACGCACCAAATCAGAGCTGGCTGCCCTGAAGAGTGCTCCTCCGACCACAGTAGCTCCTGCTCCGGTTGTTGCTCCTGTTTCCGCTCCCCCTGCCCCCGCCGAATCGGAGGCAGTTCAGCAGTGCAAGATTCTCCTGGAGCAGCTGCGGCAAGAGCATGCCAGAGAGCGAACTGTCCTCCAGGAGCAACTGGAGGCCACTACCGCACGGGCGGCCTCACTCGTCCGTAGCACGGAGAAGGCAAAGCACGGAAGGGATCGCCTGAAGGCTCGGCTGAGGATGGCCCTGCAGTGGGCCCAAAAGCTTGAGGCCGGACAGGCGGAGGTAAGGGACACCTACGAGGCGGTACGCCGCTTGGAGGTCCTCGTCCAGCACAAGGAGTCACAGCTGCGGGGCCTACATTCCCGCAACGCCGAGGAGCTGGACAAGATGCGGCAAAAGCTGCAGCAGAAGGATGAAACCATTCGCACACTTCTCAGGGGAAAAATGGAACGGAGGCCGGCAGTGGATTAGCCGTCAAAGAAATGCGTTTAACAATTAAAAATATATAATTTCAATACAAAATACATTAATAACTTAGCGTAAAAAGCTTTTGAAGCACAGCAGTTCGGGATCAACCGGACTCGATCTGCTCGGTTAGCGTCTCGTCCGCAGTCGTCCCCGATCCTGAGCCGGGGCCAGAGCCCGGGCACACCACGCACGCCTTTGGCACCGTCTGCTCTATGTACATGGTGATCCGTTCCAGCACCTCGGGGACCACCGAGCACATAACCTGCTCGTACCGCTGGGCTCCCAGCTGCGCCTGCAGCGACTGCAGCTGATACTTGAGGTACTCCGTTAGGGGTATCTTGTAGACGGGATCCTTGAGCACCAGCTGACGGTTCCGGTCATCGTGGTAGGTCTTTGCCGGATAGCCCTTGGCATGGAAGTCTTCACTGCCCAACTGCTGCTGCAGTTCGTCCAGCTCGTGCTCATCGTGGATGACCAGGGAGTCGTAGTACCTCGGTGTAGTCTTGGTGGCACCCTCTTCAACAGCGGCGTACTGCTTGTCCATCACCTCGCCCAGAGTCTCGTCCACCAGCTGGAGGATGTGAGGCAGGCGGGCGAGCAGCAACTCGTTGCTACCAAAGATGGAGGCAAAGGCCAGACAGAAGAGCTTTCGCTTCTCGGCGTGCGTGTCCGGAACCATGGGAAACATCTCGATCCACACGTCCAGGATGCGGGCCAGGGCGTCCGCATGCGGTAACTCCTGCACCACGGACATGAACACGGCCTGGTCGATGAGCAGGGTGCGCGCCACGATGGTCAGGTACCAGCCCATGGTCATGGGGTAATCCTGCTTGATGTACACCTGCTGGAAGACGAACGGCAGGGCCGGACGCACCAGCCGCAGGCCCATCGTTGCGTCCGTTTTCAGGCACGTCTCGAAGATTCTCAGCATGGCGATAATACCCTCCACCCGGATGTCCTCGAAGGAGCGCACGCAGTAGGACACAAAGCCCTCGCCATACCGACTCAAGTAGGCCTGGGCATCCAGCAGGATGTAAGCGTGAATCAACTGCAGAACAGTGCGAAGATTCTCCGACGACATCTCAATGATGGGCAGCAGGTGATCGCACAGCTTAAGCAGCTCGGGGGTCAGCGCAGTCGAGTTTCCGATTACAGCCAGCCAGAGCATGATCCCGTCCTCGATGAGGTAGACATGGGAGTGTTGCTGTAAGATGAGACATCATTAGCGTTAGGAATTAAGTATCACGACCTGTAATTAAGCCTAAATCCCACTCTGCGACCTGCAAACTTCTTACTGTTTTCATAGAAGCCCCTCAGTGTGAGTGTATGGGGTCATAAATCGTTGATTTCTCAAAACAGATAAGCCAAGCTTCGCATATAGATTTCTTGAAATCAAAACCAATTACAGAGAAGACACTGATTAGTATAAAAGCGACTTCCAATGAAGCTCATAACAGCTTGGATTGCCCTTCTCACTTGGCTAACATGGTCCGAGGTCTCCCTGGGCCAGTTTCTGGAAAACAATTGTGGCTACGCAGTTCCACTCTCACCAAAGTCAAGGGTTTATGGAGGACGCAATGCAATTATTGGTTCCAGTCCATGGATGGCATATTTGATATATAACTCGGCTTTTCATTGCGGAGGCACGCTCATCACCAAAAGTTTGTATCTATCAACGATCAAAGCTTTGAATCTGCAGCTAATGATTGCTATTTTCTAGGATATATCCTGACCGCAGCTCACTGCGTTGAAGATAATCTGTGAGTATAGATTAAAAGACTACAGACTAGACTAAAGTCTACAAATCTCACACAGAAAGGTTCGCCTGGGCGAGTACAATACCAGAACTCTGATTGATTGCACAAAAGATGGTTGTATTCCCCAGTACGAGGAGTACGATGTATCAAGGGCCATGGTACACGCCAACTACAACTTTCAACTGGGTAGCAGCGACGACATTGCATTGCTCAAACTGGTCAGAGCTGTACGTTATGACGGTGAGCATAGCACATTGAAATGTTCTTCCTTTAATAAGTATCCTATATAATCCCTCTCTCACAGTACACATTCGGCCAGTCTGCATCCTGCTGAATCCTTCGAGAGCCGCTCACAATCCCACCTTTGTGGCCACCGGTTGGGGCAAGACCGGCATCAATACAATTGCCACTGTTTTGCAAACGGCCACCCTTACGAAGCTCGACTCAGCGGAGTGTAATCGTGGCCTGCGCTCAACCTTGGCTTGGGGACAGTTCTGCGCGGGTCACAGCCAGGCCGACACATGCCAAGGTGACTCTGGTGGACCGCTGGTACAGAGGCTGTTCAATGGTTACATCATGCGTACGGTTCAGTTTGGTATTGTGAGCTACGGTCATTACTTGTGCCGCGGCCCAGGTGTTTATACAAATGTTATGGCCTACACGGAATGGATTCGTAGGACTATAGATCTTAATGAGAATTAAACTGCGAAACAAATACTAAACAAATTACCAAACACTGCTCACCTGAAGGTCTGTGCTCAGCTGGATGACGCTGTAGAGGAAGGGCTTCATGGGCTCTGGGACATCCCGGATCGTACGCACCAGCTGCTCCAGGGTGCCAATGATGGCACATCGCAGCAGGTCGTACTCCTCGCTCTCACGCCAGAGCAGTGGCAGATAGCCGATGAACTGCAGTGCCTGCGGCTCGATGTACTCGCTCATCTTCTCTACGAGCAGCGTCATAGTGCCCAGCACCACGATCTTGGTGTCGCATTCACCAGCCTCGTGGAGGAGCAGGAATAAAGCCTCGAAGAGGGGCGGGAAGTAGGGGTGAAAGGCCTCCGGCATGAATTCAAAGTCGTCAATTAGCAGATTCAGTGTTCTGGCGGCGGCCAGTCTCGTGGGCATATCCTCTTGTGGCCTCAGAAGATGCAGACACGCCTCGTAGGCCAGGGGACGCAGCTCCCGGGGTAGCTGAACGCCCACCCAATGGCCCACGAGCCAGATGATACGTCTTCGCAGGATGCGGAAATTCGGAGCCTCCACTCGCAACTCCGCCAGCAGTTGCGAGGTCAGCCAGGCGCCAAAGTCCAGTTTATTGAAGAAATGGAAGGCTGCCTGTCCCACGGCATTGTAGATGGCGTCCTTCAGCAATATGGCCTTCAGATCAGATTCCGGGGTGAGTTGCAGCTGCTGGGCGCGCCTCACGAAGCGGAGAACCTCCTGGATCATCACCGCAGAGTGCTGGGTGAAGCAAGTGAAGTACAGGGTCTCCACGCTGGGCCTCAGGGCATATTTCCAGGCATCGCCACCGCCGTCGTCCTGATCGTAGCCCTCCGGATCCTGCTGCCACTCTTCAAGCTCCTGCTGCGTGAGCAGGAAGTAATGCGTCACGATCTTTTCGCAAATGTACGTGATCCTCTCGTCCGTAAAGAACTTGGCATGACTCTGAGCGGCGCCAGCCAGCAGCTCGTCCTCGATGGAGGCACCCGTCGCTCCCTCGGGCGGGGCACTGATGCTATCGTTGCCGCTCAGCATGATTCCCTTCAGCATATTCAGCGCCTGAATGGCGAAGTTGCCAAAGTTGATGCGGTCGCCGGCGTCGAATATGAGGGCTGTGCCCTCATGGAACACATAGTGGAAACTGAACTCCAAGGCTACGGGTACGAATCTCGCAAAGGACACCGAATGGCGGTCCTTCAGCTCGTTTAGGGTCTTCATCATTTTGAGCACAAAGCGCTCCAGTTCTGTGAGTATTGCAGCCGTTCCGGGCGAGACGGAGCCCATCCTCAGCTCGTAACGCAGTTCCAGGCACTGGCGCAGTCGCTGGAACAGCTGCTCCACGAAGTTCATGTGGTCGGTGGACTTGTAGGGCTTATTACAGCCGTAGACCACCAGCTTGCGCAGGGATCGCATTACCACATAGGCACGCTGCAAAGCATTCAAGGCCAAGGCCTCCTCTTTGCGGACCAGCTCGAAGAAGCGAGCCGTTAGCGGGGCCCAGATTTCCCAGGCGAGGTAGCCGAAGATCTGCGAGCCCAGTTCCTCAAAATACCGCTGTTCGGCCATCAGGCGACGCGAGGCAAGTGCCTTGAGGACGTAGTGCAGCACCAGGAGTATGCGCTGTTGCAGGGCCGCTTCTCCGTCCGCGCTGCATGCCTGCAGCTGCTTCATCAGCGTGGGCAGCAGATCCGGCCAGAATCGTGGGTAGTCCGTACGCGCCAGTCGCCCCAGAAGCACAGCTATCTGGAGCGCCACCTGGGGCACCTCCTCGGCGTCGTAGTGCCGCAACAACACCTCTCGGATCTGCTGTTTCTGCTCGGCGGGCAGCTCCTGGCGAGAGCCGGGCCGCCAGTAGCGCTCCACACCGTTCTTCAGATAGACCGCTGCCATCCAGCGCACCTTCACCTCGGAGTCCTGCGCGTTGTCAGCATCGCCGGAGCAGCCGCTACGTCGCATGCTGAGCCTGGCTATCGTGGGAAAGAAGCCCGGCTGCTGCTCCCACTCGCGCAGCTGCGCCTCCGCCTTCTGGACGATCTCGTGGCTCGGATTGGTGGCCGCCTGCAGCGTCTGGGCCACCAGCTGCTCCACCGATGCTCCTGCTCCAGCTCCAGCTGCTGCTCCCGTTGCCATTGCCGTTGCCATCACACGCCTCCTCTGGGCGAAAATTATTGGGCAAAAATTAACAATTTTTTATCCGGACCAGTTCTGCCAGTTTAGCTAATTTCTAGCAAAAGAGGAATTGAGAAGCCTCTGATATTTGTTATTAGTTTATAGCCTTAACAATGCATATTATTCAATATACTTTTCACATTTTTGGCATATTACCATTCGTGACATCAAACTTCTAACGCTTTTAGAGTTTTTTAGTATAACAAAAACAATTAACACATTTTCATTTCATGCATTGCGGGCTCAAAAGAGAAACGTATTATTTTATTAATATATTTAAATATTTTCCCAATATATTTATTTATTTATTTATTTATATTTATTTATTGATTGTTTAAGTTCTGAAAAAGATAATATCACTTAAAATTAATATAAACAGAAAAATCTACATTTTGTGGACGCTAAAAACAGCAAGCGTCCCTCGTGTGGTTCAATGCCGAACTGCAAAGGGTTTTTATGAAGTTGACTTTATATGAACAAAATTGCGCAGCACTTTAATACAATAATAATAAATATTACTTAGCATAAGCAAATTAATTAAAAATCATAACTTTTAACACATAATAATGTTCCCGAAAACAGAAAATTGCGTCTATATGTACATTTTAGCTTATTTTGTCTCAGAATTTAGCTTTATCGACGAATCATCACTGACAAAACTGAAAGAGACTGCGTTTGGTATAGAGAAAAATACCAAAAATGTGACCCTTATCTGGATGAAAGATGAGAAGAACTCAGAAATGTCCAATAAATATGTTCTGCAACTAATAATTTTGTTTTTATTTGAATTGAATTCCTTACGACATTGTTATTATTTGTGCAAATTTTCCTTACGTTCTTTCAAACAATCTGGAAAGGCAAAGCTGTACATCATTTTTCAATAAGAAAACCATAGACACAAGCCGTGGCCTGTAAACATGACTTATCCAAGTTCTCCACTTCTTTCACAACGTTGCCTATAAAGTGTGGCCAGCCCGCGTGCATGCAAGAATCCTAATATTTTTTCTGGTAACACTGCTTGTGGGGTCATGTGATAGACACCAGCTGACCGAACATTTTCCAAAGTTTGCCAAGTTTTTTGTTCGCTCCTTCGTGAAAAAAATCAAAGAAACCCCAAGGAAAACATGGCTCTGCACTCGGCAATCAAGGGAAAACTGATCAGCGTGATCGGCGATGAGGACACCTGCGTGGGCTTCCTGCTGGGCGGCGTGGGCGAGATAAACAAGAACCGTCATCCCAACTTTATGGTGGTGGACAAGAACACGGCCGTCAGCGAGCTGGAGGATTGCTTCAAGCGCTTCCTCAAGCGCGACGACATCGACATAATCCTGATCAACCAGAACTGCGCCGAGCTCATCCGTCACGTGATCGATGCACACACATCTCCGGTGCCCGCGGTGCTGGAGATTCCCTCCAAGGACCATCCGTACGATGCCAGCAAGGACTCGATTCTGCGCCGCGCCCGCGGCATGTTCAACCCAGAGGATATGGTGCGTTAATTGCCCGCAGGAGTAGAGTTCTTTTGGAGAAGAGGGTTCAACGTATTGCTGCAACCGTTAGAAGTATTGCTTTCCATCGTAATTCCCAGCTGTAAACCACTATATATATAGATTCAGAGCTTTTCGTTTGTTCTAATTGTGTATTTAAAGACATTTATTAAATGGTTTTTGTTGTATAAAATAGATTAAAATAGAAATTGTAAAAAAATGTTGGAGGCTGGAAAGTCATTTCAGCCTCTTCCAGTTACAGTGAGAGGGGGGTTGCTTTCCAGAACAAGCAGTTCCGTGCTGTTAGTAATGTTCTTGCACTGCTTGCTTGGTGCTGTTATGCGCAATCAGCTGTTGAAAGATATTCTTGTTGGCAACGTAAACAGAAAACAGATAATACCGACAGAACCCGACTTTTCCACGAATTGATTGATCTGCCTTTAGTCACCTGTCCTCTGCACACGCACACCATGCTGAAGGCCGTAATCCTGATCGGCGGTCCTCAGAAGGGCACCCGTTTTCGTCCACTTTCCCTGGACACACCCAAGCCTCTATTCCCGCTGGCCGGGCGTCCGCTGATTGCCCACCACATCGAGGCCTGCGCCCAACTGCGGGACTTGCGCGAGATCCTCATCATTGGCTACTATCCGCAGACCCAGATGGAGGGTTTCGTGGGCGACATGCAGGCACTGTATAGCAGCAGCAACATCAACATCAGGTGGGTTCATTTCCCCAGATATTGGGCTTACCTCTGACGTGTCCCCTTTTGTTTTAGGTACCTGCAAGAGTTCACGGCCCTGGGAACAGCGGGTGGCATGTACCACTTCCGGGATCAAATCAGAGCAGGCAATCCTCGAGCTTTCTTTGTTCTGAATGGAGATGTTTGCGCTGATTTTCCGCTGCAGGAGCTACGGGACTTTCATGAGAATCGTCCGTCGAGTGCCCTGGTGACCATAATGTCCACGGAGGCCACACGTCAACAGTCGCTGCATTACGGCTGCCTGGTTTTCGATAAGAACAACGGAGCCGTGTCTCACTACGTGGAGAAGCCGAGCTCCTATGTGTCCACCTTCATCAATTGCGGCGTATATGTCTGCTCCATGGACATATTCACCGTGCTGGCGCAGATTTTCCACTCAAGGGGACAGGAGTACGGTTGCCAGGGTTTTAGCAACGGCAATGGAAATGGAAATGGCAATGGACGGGAGCAGGGCCACATCAAATGGGAGCAGGAGGTACTCACGCCCCTGGCTGGCACGGATAAGCTGTTCGCCATGCCGGTGCCCAATTGGTGGTCGCAACTGAAGACCGCCGGATCGGCCATCTATGCCAATCGCCATTACTTGGGACTTTACAAGAAGACCCATCCGGAGAGGCTGGCAAATGTGGGAACCAAGCACGGTGAAGGCGATGGCAGCTTGATATGCACCGTGCTTCCGGATGTCTATGTGCATCCCAGTGCCACTGTGCATCACAGCGCAGTGGTGGGTATTTATATTTACTTTTTGACTTTAACATGTGATAATAATTCCTGATTATTCTCTTCCAGTTGGGTCCCAATGTGGCCATTGGGCCGGGCGTAACCATTGGACCGGGCGTGCGCATTCGGGAATCGATTGTCTTGGAACAGGCTCAAATCCAGGATCATACTCTGGTCCTGCACTCGATTGTGGGCAGGGGCTCGACCATAGGAGCCTGGGCACGCGTTGAGGGCACACCCAGTGACCCCGATCCCAATAAGCCCTTTGCCAAGATGGAAAACCCGCCGCTCTTCAACAACGAGGGCAAGCTGAATCCCTCGATTACCATATTGGGTAAGTATCTGGGCGTTATTTAGGTATATTAAAAGATATTAATCCGCATTTTCAGGCTGCTTTGTGCAGGTGCCTGCCGAGAAGATCCTGCTAAACAGCATTGTACTGCCGCACAAGGAGCTTAGTCGCAGCTTCAAGAACGAGATCATATTGTGAGGATATGAATATAACTTTTATTTTGGTATCTCCTTTTATCAGTATGCCATTTTATACGTTTCTATTGTGCAATATTCCAAAAATCTATCTATTAAATGTACCCTAGCTAATTTTATATATTTCTAGTCAGATTTATATTGATTTGGCGGATAATTTAAAGTTTTTCAATCATTATTTATCGATAGCGATTATTCTTAACCCCTTGCTGTATAAAAATTATATAAAGCATAGTTTTGGGGTGCTTTAAAACCTCATTTGAATATATTTCTATGAATTATTTTGACCATCAAAATTTTTCTGTAGTTTAATACCTTAAAAATGTAACCTTTTTAAATCGAAGTTACTTAGATATCGATAAATTGTTTGAGTTCGTGACACGCGTGTAGCTCTGGCGCAATTGCACGAATAAGCGATCCACACAAACGCACACCAACACACTGAGCTCTCTCTTTCTGCCCTCTCTCTCTTAGTCTCGTTTAGACCAAAACGCGTTTACCTGAGTTACCTGAGTTTTAGCCAGTTCGTCGCCTGTTGCATTTGCTCTGTGTGTATCTCGCTCTGTTCGGAAAAGTGTTATTTAAACAGTGTAATTAACGGGGAAAATAGTCACTGCTTGGCAATGACAGAATGATGATTTTGGCCAAAACGAAAGGTAAACAGGTAAGCAGCGGGACTCTACGTGGGCAGTTCTTCGTTCTCCATTCTCCGCGAGCCTTTGGTAATTGAGCAAGCGTATGGGAAGAAGCAGAGCCAGTGTACAAACACGGTACAGGTGTAAGTGTAGGTGTGTGTGTGTGTGTATGTGTTGGTGGAGCGGCGCAGGTAACTTTTGCTGTCAGAGATAGAGAGTGGGAGAGCGAGTCATGCTCACTGAGCGTAACTGTCTTGCTCAGCGTGGGAAACTATTTGGGAGAGGAATCAGGCTCTCTCCGTTACGTCAAGCTTTGAGAGTGGAGTATGTGTAACTCTCTCTTCCTCCCTCTCCCTACCAGTGCTGCCAGTTGATCGTCCGTATAAGCTAAATTCTGACCAAAAGTTAGCTAAATTAACCTAAATATAAAAAATATATTATTATACAGTTTAAAATGTAATCCAGCTTTGCCGATCGCTTTAGGACCAGCTATCATTCGATCTGCATACAACTAAAACCCAATTTCCGAATTAATAAATAAATATAAAATGACCATAACAACAGCGAAGTAATAATAAAAATAACCATTTTTCTAGATCTAGCCTGAAATACGCCTATCTGGTAACACTCCCTCTATCGCGATGCCTATTGGCAAACACAGGCCTTGTTGCTGCTGCCGTTGTTGTTATTGTTGTTGGTATGTGCGTGCTGGAATCTTGTTTGGCCCACCTGAGCTCTCTGGCCAGTTCGCGCTCTCTCCGTATCTCTCGCTCTGCAAGCGCAGCTCGCTCACCTTACCTTCGTGGTTACCTGCGTTTCGTTGTGGCGATCAATTGTTTTTTCAACCTGAATCGAAGCGGATGCGCGGCGGCGTTAATAACTGACGAAAAATCCGACACGCACACCAACACAACAGAACTAGAAAAAAGACAAGACAAAGTGGTAGAAGCAACAGGCGAACAAGCAGAAGCGAAGACTTGTTTGCAGCCCCCGTCTCCCCCTCATTCGGTCGTTTTAATACTGTGGTTTTAAATTAATATAGCACTTTGGTCAAGAAGAGTTGGCTGCTTAAAAGGCCAAAAAACACAACGCGGGCGTTGATACAATTACATACACAGGTGTGAGTGTGCAAGTGTGTGTGGCGGGCGAAAAGAAAGTGCAATAAAAACCGAAAAATTGTGAAAAGCCAACAAGTGCAATGTATACAACGTGTTGAAGGAGAGAGAGAGAGAGAGAGAAAAAACGTATGTATATAAAACAAAAAAACAGTAAAAACAGTTAACTTGCCGTGAGAGCGAGGGCGAGCTCGAAGAAGAAGAAGAAGAAGCAGAAGAGGAAGTTGTAGATATCATTTACCAACAACAACCTGTCGCAGTGTCCGATTGAGAACCACTTTGTTGTTGCTGTAAGTCGAAAAATCTATTAAACATACCAAAATGAATGAACAGCCACAGCAACAACAAGAAAACAACAGTAAGGGGCGCTAAACAAAGTGAAAACAAATTTACAGTTAGCAGAGACCAAAACGAAGATGCAGAGAGAAGGAGAGTCCGACTTGTTTATGATACCCTCCCCAAAAGAAGGAGTTTCATTTAGTTGACACATTTTGGACGATATAAAAATTGGGTTTGATATAAAATTGTTAAGGGGCAAATTAGAGAGTTTTTAAAATAGACATTTAAAATAAGGTAGAATATTGTTTTCACATTTCCTTTTGGCTCAATGTTTCAGTTCTGGGAAAATACTTTTAGTTAATTTAAATGTTTTGGAGATAAGATATGCGACATACTGAAGACTCATGCTGCCTTACGGAAAATTCTGTCAAGTAGATAAGTGTCGATTCACGAGCAAGGGTATTCAAAATTCGAAAGGCTTTGATCTTTATTTGCTTTGGCAACACAAGAATCACAACAACAGCAACATTAATAGAGTTGCACTTGTTGCTTGCGTGAGATTCAGTTGAAAGAAGAAAGGAGATAAAGGCGGAGCTACAGCAAGAGGCTGAAATATTTTCCTTTTCTCTCCACTTGTTTTTTGTGTTACCTCTCTTTTTTGTTGTGAATAACTTTGGCAATTGGCATTTCTCGCTAGCAATTTTGCGCAATCATAAGTTTCCTGTTGCCCCAACAACAACAAGAAATAACGGTACACTCTGGCAGCAGCAACAAATGATATTTGCAAGCGGAAAACAATGCATAAAACAAACTAAAAAAAAAAAATAATAGTAAAAAAGAAACTTGCGCAATTCATAATTTAATAAGCGAGTCCGAAAAAAATCTGCTCACTTTCTGGTTTACCAATCATCAGGTAGCAAAGCAATTCATTAATTGCATTAGTTGTTGTTGTTGTTGTTGGAGTTATTGTGTGTGTGTTTTTATTGCACTCCTGCAGCGCCTGTCACTAATTCGTATTTAATCACCAGCTTTACGGCTCATTCTCTTTCAAAAGCGTAACGGCCACAGTTGGAGACCGATCTTCATTTGCAAGAGAACGTCTAAAGCGGAATTTTCCGCATGTAAAAAACATATATATATATATTTATATATTTATCTTCTTAGCCAAATTAACCTTCATTTAAAATTAAATGGATTTCATAATCAAAAAATATATAATTATATATTAATATTGGTTAAAACTTTCCATTCTTCGAATGCTAGTTTGTCTTGGGGGAAGTCCCTCTGCATTTTGATTTCCAGTTAGAGTCTGTATTTTGGGTTTCTTCTTTTTAATGACGAACATAACGCTTTCCCATTGTCTTTTCGGTCATTCTTTATTTTACCTTAATTGGGCCCAGACCCGAGCACCGTTATTCATTAATGAAGAGAGTACCTTTTCCGCGTCCATCTCTCATCATCAAGTGTCCAAACGAAAGGGAAAACTTGTCTATGCGTGGCTGCCCCTTTCGTATAACAGTATCGCTCTCTATAGCTTGCATTGCAATCAATTAAAAGCACATAAACCATCTCATAAGCTTGTGACTTATAGTATGATATGATGCCCCGCCCCTCCCTCGAGAGGTAGAGGTAAATCGAGGGGCTTTAATGGGATGTAAGGGCTTAAGGTTTTTTCGTTTCCATCCGGAACAGGAAATAGAGCGCTCTTTTAGGCCTTTAAGTTTGTATTGCAACATTGGGCATTGCAACACTACAGCTTTCCAGTTTACTTAACCCCACAGGTCGAAAAAAAGGGTCAAAAGCATAAAGGTTACGAACCAGTTTAGGCTTTTTAGACGTAGTTCTTAACTTGGGTTGCCAGGGAACGTGGGAAACCGTATATTGATGATGATTTCCCGGTAACGGGGAAAACGACCCAAGGGGCAGGGCAAGATGCAAAAAGCGTTAAACGTTAAAAACCCGTAAAAAACAAACGTCATAAATTGCACAAGACCAGAGATATAACCGCAATCGCTGATTACCACATGGTCAATCTTCAATCTTCAATCTTCAGGAGGGACTGAGTAAATACAGAGCAACTGTGAACAGAGGGATGATAAATCCCCTCGGCAATTTAAGTTATTAGTCAAGTGTGGACTATAAAAGCAGAGCAGACTGCTACAGTTGGTCTTCGATATATGTATGCTTTTAAAAATAACTTTTAAAGAATTAATATAATTGGGTTTATTTTAGAAGTAGTATAAACTTCTTTAAGTCCATTTTGTCTGTCCGATATATGTTAACTATATATTAAGGAAAAGAGGAAAGTATTTGAAGGAATTTTTTGTTAAAGGTATATCAGAAAATTTTTCAAAATTATAATAATAATTGCAGAATTTTATTAACCTTTAGAGTTCAAAAACTTTTAGTAGAACGCTTTTCGGTTATGAATATAGCTATGTACAAGCCATAACTTTTAATCCATTTCAACTCAAAGTCGTGAAATATATACTTTATAAATAACTCGAGTGCTCTTCATTCAAAGTTAAAATAAAATTGCATACTTATTTTTTTAATGCGACAAGTTCAAGTTCTTCTTATTGAAACAGGACTGTTACCAGCTTCCGTTCCGATCTGATCAGATCCGACACGGCGAGCACTTAAAGTAACTCAATTACGAAAGTCTGGCCTTTTTGCACGTACATATGCATTATTTTAAAATTTAATTACAACAAAGAGCTGTCATTTTGAGTACTATAAAGAGCGAATTGCGCCTGCGCGCCCCGATTAACCCATGATCGCCATTTTGCTGAACTCTGCGGGTCTTGTGTTTTCATTAAGAGCAAAGCTTTTCCCATTAAAAATGCTCATAAAATTGCGCCGTAATTTCTCGTCGGTCCTTCGTACATATATTTGTTCACTTTTCGTTCCCGTCGTCGCCGTTTGAGTGAGTTTGTTGTTGGGCAAAATTAAATTTCAAATCGCCAGGCGAGGGTTAATACTTTAATTTCAATTTGACCCCCTTGACGTCAGCGGTGTTAGAAGTTCCATTCCGAGCCAATTACAAATGCAGCTGAAAAGCGGCAAGGCGGCAAGGTAAGGGGGGGAAAAACTGGCAACGTTACATGGGTTAAATGACGGACAAACAGACGGACAGACGGACGGACAGACGATGGATTGCATATGCAAAATGTCGTAGTGTCAAGAGTTTTGCCAAGTTTCGAGCGAATCGCCGGACTTTGGCTTTCTTTTTGATTTTTTAGTGCGAGCTCGCGGCACTATAGTATATAAGTCGTGTTTAGTATATATCTTTATAGTGGTTTCGCTTTGACTGTGCCACAAAACCGATTCGCTTTGTTTGACATTTCTTGAACGCACTTGTAATTAGTGCTTGCTTAATATGCAGCCCAAAGTCCGAGTATTCAGCTTGCAGTTTTCAGTTTTCAGTGCGGATTGTGTAATAACTTACCCCTCTTTTCCCCTTTTACAGGCACAGCCGCTGGCGGAGCAGCCCTGAGAATGCAGTTCGTTCAAAGCTAGTCTGACATGAGGCTTCAGTTCACAGAGAACTAGGATCCATTAGAATCCATTAGATCAAATCACAGGATCCTCGATCCACGATCCATCCATAGCGATCTTTAGATCACGATCATCACAGGAGGAGGAGAAGGAGGAGCATATATAGATAAAATGCAGGTTCCCGAGCACATTGTTTCACTGTACATCGCAACCTGTGGCCAAAATGGACCTGGCCTGGGTTCCGATGAAAAGGAGATCATATTGCTGGTGTTTGTCCTTCTGGAGGTGACCACTGGACAGGTGAGTTGATCCCTATATAGTTATATATTTTAATTAAACGTTTTAACAAAGCTTAGTTTTATCTGAAAATCTTGAAAAATTACCTACCTATAAAATTCATAGATAGTTTCAAGCTTAAAATTAATTGTCATACAGTCCAGATAATAACTTTAATAAAATCTGATTAATAGCTTGTAATTAATTTATATTTACACATCAATCACACAAAATTAAAATGATTTTGCATATATTAATACACGCTTAATTACGATTGATAAAAATAATATTTCTTAAGTTCAAATAGACTTCGGAAAAGTGTTCTATATAGAAATTAAGTTCCCTGATTTCCCCTTCGGTGGCCCCGCCCACTGACCACCATTTTGCTGGATCGCTCGGCTTTCGTCTACGCTTTAATTAATGAATGCTGTGCGATAACAGACCCCTCGTACACTCACACACAGATACTCACCCATACAATCAGCTCAAACGCTGCACTTTCAACTGTGTGGCGTAGCGATCGCTTATTATGTTACAGCTCTCGATTTTGATTCGCCAAAAAAGATGCTGGTTGAGCGTTTTCATTCGGCCAGCCATATTCCGAAATACCCTTGAGATAAACAGAGTATTATATAATGTATATAGATATTTCTCTAGATATTATAATGACAAGTTACAACTTTTGATCGAGTGACGAAGAGAAGCTAGAATACTAGAGAAATATCTGCGATTACCTGAAAGCAAACTGCAATCACCATACGATATATATCTAATTAGCAGTTATACCAATCCTGATATGTATTTACGAGACTCGGAGAAGATAATGTCTAGATTGACACTTTCGAACTCTGGAATCCGACAGAATTTCCAACGATCCACGTGCTTGTTGGGGCTTCATCAGTATAGAGATGTTTATGTTTTTGGGGAGATCCCTCAACGTAATGCAGGGGGAGGAGTGGAAAACCAAATGGAGGGGCGGGTATAGTGTATATATATGGATATTTGCATATTTTCAGTTTACCAAGCGATTGACACTAATTGTTTGGAAAAAATCTCTAAACATCCGAGGTGGCTAAGGGCAGACCAACCGAAACCTGCCTGTCCCGTCGAGTGTCCGCTTCCATGGCATTACGAAATTCCCTAACCGACAAACTATCGCCCCGGCCATTAAATTTTATTTGCCAAGCGCCAAAGTAAAGTTTTCCAAGAAAGCATACAGAAGATTTTCAAATTGCATGATGATGTAATAGGCCCCAACAATTGGCATCCTTCCAAGAGATGTGTTGACTTTGGAAATAGGTTTTTAGCCTTGTTCAAGAAGAGAATACTTTTTGATATAGAAATGGGGCTTAATACTGATAGTTTAAATGTGATCATCAATCATATAATAAGAATTATCCCAATTTTGTAGTAAATGTGATCATCTTATAGATTTGTTCCAATTTATTAAAGTAATTCCCCAATAATGGGTTATATGAGTGAGATGGTAATCGTTTTGTTTTGGACTTAAAGATCTTTGAATAATTTATCCCCCCTCCATTATTGAGCAACACACAACCAATCGGTTTCCCCATTTTCAATGCATTTCGTGGAGTTCAATAATGACGCTTTCGGTACGCAATTTTATTTGCCCAATGTGCTTGACAATCTCGAGAGCACACAAAACCCGTATCGGATGGTTACGTGGATGCTTCGATTCCGGCGGAGGCTGCGTGTTCAGAGGCATTGCACCGATGCCAACTATACACTATATATATATATATACACTTGGATATTGTGGAGGTTGTTTTCGCACCGGCTAGAACTGATGATGAGGGAAAAATTGCCGGCCATTAGAGATGGCTCTGTGTGTACCTTCGGGTCGGGGCTCTTGAGGGGCTATTTGCTGGCTTTGCTTTTGTTTTGTTTTTTAGTTTTTTTTAGGTTTTTGTCGGTGGAGATGTTTGCCTGACATTGTCGCGATTTTATGACGAGCACGCAACATTTTTAGTAAGTGCAGGGAGTACCTCCTTCTACCCCCTTGGGCTGATCTTAAGTGGCATTTAATGGCGACATTGGGGGACCGCAATTACGGGTGCTTCTATTTCTGTTTGAGATGATATTTTCAACTTTTTTGAGACTCATTTTTTTGGACCCTTCCGATGGCCCCCTTGACCCGCAGACAACTTCTGTCTTTGATTGCTGCCAAGCTATTGTGAATTAATTACCTCAAGCTTAAACTTTGGCTTCCAGCTAAGTGGCTTTGTGGCTTTCGCAAAACGATTCGGCTTTGGGGCCAATTTTTATGCTAATCTTGTGCGGTGAGTCCCCGTGGCAAACTATCGGTGGTGGTATTATTATTGTTATTATTATTATTTATTTCGCTTTTCTCTCGCTGTTTTTGGTTGGGTCAAGGGGTCAGACGGTTGAATTTCTCCCATAGATCCTCCTTCCTCGCCGAATTTCAGACCCTAATGAGAGCTATACTAGTCTACAGTGGACTTCTGAATAAAATATTATTTATATATTGTGGACACAAATCTGAATACCAAATTCTGTCTGCGAAATCTATGCAAATATCTGGATGCCACATAATGCTCGCAACGGTATTCGCAAGCAATTGGAAAGCTGCTTATCGAAAAACAATTAACTATATTCACGGATCTGACTTCATTTTGACAATATATATAGTGTTTAAGTCACTTTAAATTGTTGCGAATTATGAATATATTTGGCTCAGATCACGAGACAAAAGTGTGATTGCCTATTGGCATATTGATGATATATTAAACTATTTCCCAAGAGTTTCAAATTAATTAAGGGAAAGTAACGCTTGCTGTGTGATATAACCTGTCAATTTAAAAGATTAATAGGTATATGTTTTAATTTTAGACCTTAATAGCTTAACTTGAGATAAGAAATTTAATTGGTATGTCTAAAAGATGTTTAGCCATGGCAAACTACAAATAGTAATTATTTCTTTAATATATCTTGAAACCATCATGATGAATTAGTTATATTGATATCTATTTTAAACATCAAACTGAATACTAGATCAAAGTATCATATAGTAGTTCCTTCTCTCAACCAACTCCGTCATCATAATTGCAATAATCCAATGACAGAAATTAATATTTGATTCAGTCATAAAAGTGATCTGGGTTTTATATTTGGCAGACTGGCGACGTGCCCCATAATAACGCGTTCTCTATCGATGACCGATTCCGACTGTCATTTGGCTGCCTAATGGGGCGATGGCTGGTCTTATTTTTGGACAGGTGAGAGGGGCAGCACGACAGAACTGTCAATTTGGAAAGCTTGATTATGGTATTCGGTTTTGAGCGGGAAGCGTGATAAGAGAATTTATTGACTTTCCCGAACGGAGACACACTTTTCCGGCCTCTCCTCGGGTGATCTGTTTCCCGCTACCATTTTCGTGTCAGCTCGATATCAAATTGAATTTCTCTGTTATAGATTTCTTGCTCGAGAGCAATTTTCTTGATTTGATAAAGACACACACACTCGCTTGTGGCTCACATATACCGATGCAGTAATTGGCATGTTAATTGCAGGCTAGTTATGACTCGTATGGCAACAATTAAAGTTAATTAACATTTGAAAACAAACTGCAAAAAGTCGCCGGAGTGGAGGTGCGCGGACAGGTGAGGCTGCCGCCGCTCTTAATCCCAACGCTCTGTGCGGCTCTACTTGAACCAATTAGAACTCTTAGCTGTCTGAACTTTAATAATTCAATCTGTGATTCCACCAACCGCTAACTGGGTGGGTTCAGTGGAAACTAAGGCATCGCATATACCCTCTCTCCATCGTGGGTTGTGTTGGGAAACAACCTAAAAGACTGGCATAATTAGGAGTGCTCTTAACCCCAAAGGAACCCAAATATGCCAGACCTGGATGAATATAACATGACGACCGCAAACTCATGCATTTTTCATTTGGTTCGGAACCCTATTCCAACCAGCCGTATATCGTCGTATCGCCCCGTTTCCCCATAAATATTGCTCCTCCATTCAAAGCCCATGCAAATCGATTTCAGGAGACGCCGTCAGAAATTGGAAAACAAAGAAAAGTACAAGTTTTAGTTACATTTCCTAAGGCCTAAGGCCTAAGGTCTGCTCCGAGCGTTCTGTTTCGGATTTTTATAGATTTGCATAGAGCCCAACTACCTGCAGAGACTCGCGATTCCAATTCCGATTTGGATTCGGATCGTGACTACTTTGACTTCTTTGCATATCCGTTGACGCAAGACTGGCTCTTTGTTCCCTGAAATTTTGAAGGTTTTCCGCTGTTCACCTTTTTAAAATATGTATTTCTTCCCCGAGAACCATCCAGAAACATGACGCCCCGGGATTGCAGGTGTACCCTGCTATCGGATGATAGTGATAGCAAAAAAAACTTGGCTCGGTCAAGAGCAGGTTTCTGCCTGGATTGATAAGACTGGGAACAGTCATGCTTACTGTATATTTGTTTGACTTTGGGCATAATAATATATATTATGTATTATTTTAATTATTTGTAATAATATACTATTTTATGTTGCATGTTTCTTTTATGCCTTAATCTGGAAGTTAGTATTTGAAATGACGAGTCTCCAACTTAAGCTTAATATCATATTACTCTTAGTTAGAGTACTAAAATCTTTATCCCCTGAAGATCTTTTACAATCCTTTACAAGCAATACTCTTTGCTATCATTATTACTGGCAATTATAATTGTCTAGCCAGACAACGAGACTAATGAATCTTTTCCCTTGTACCAAAACAGATCGTTGGAACCAAACAAATACTCGTACGGCCGGATGGCTACTTCATCAAGGATCGCACCATCTCTGGCTCCTCGGATAACTCGAGTGCCACCAATAATACGGCCAGTTCCCCGCCCCTAGCCATCGGTGACTCCTCCGGTGTCTCCAACAATGGCAGTGGCAATGGCAGCACCCTGGACAATGGTAGCGAACTAATCCTGCCCATTGCAGAGGCCCAGGCGGCGGGAAAGCCACTGAGCGAGGCCATCGAAGAGGTGCGTATTAACCATATAATCCAATTCGAAAATCCCATCCCAATCTGATCCATGCCATAATAGGGGAGCACGTTGTTTCGGGTTGTTGTGACTTGTTTGGATTTCGACCTGTTATCAGCAGGAGGAGAGCCGGTAACCGAATCCGATAAGATTAGGCACACTGCACTATGTGTGGCTAGTGAATGCAAACGTTTTGGGGGTAGCAGAGTGAGCTCTATTTATGGAACGCACCCTCTAAAAAAAAAGAGAATGATTCGTTGTTGGTCCTTGCCCCGGCTTCTCGGTGAAGTGTTGCGTTGTCTCTTATCAATGGGCATCGGGTTTCCAGGGCTGTAAAAGTACACAGGGAAAAAAACGTCTCAGCTATTTAGGTTTATATAAGTGGTTAATATATATTCCCTTTATTTATATATATATGAGGCTATTTTTGATACAAAGAAGAGTTAAATGCTAAAAGGGGAACTTAAAATGAAACCTTTTGATCTCAATTAAAGTTAAATACAAATATAAATTACACACAAAATATCTTAAAGCTCGGACATCTTTATCTTACATTGTTTATTATATTTCACAACATTTGTTGCAATTTCTACCGACTATTTAAAGATGACTGACTTTAGCGCCTCACGTGTTATATATTTACGTATTTTTGATAAGCCAATCGGCGATTAAAGATTTGATTTCAATACTTGAGAGTCACAATGAGTGTACTCGATTCTTGCTTCATCACCATGGATTGCACTCTCCTCTTGGAGACCTTTGGCCCAGCACAGATTCCACACCCATTCATACAAGAGCTTCTCCTACTCCCCCTCGTCAGTGCTTATCAGAGACCCTGATAAGGTTTCCACTTCAGGCAAGCCCCCAGTTTTAATTTCAACTCCGTTCGGGTGTCAGAATGATGACTCTCTCTCTCTGGCAGAGGGGCAGGGAAAAATGCCGCTTGGCAAACACATTCGACATACATTATTGGCTGCTGATGCAGATAAAAGATCTCGATATGGTTAGGGAAAGGAGTGGAAGAACCGAATGGGGTCTTTAAAAATATTGAAAAAGTTTGAAATAGAGTTAAATTTTACCTTTAAAGAGTTACTTAAAATGGAAACCCATCTGTTCAATAGGGTTTATTTTAAGTTTCTGTTTAATGGGCTTTAAATTATTCTGGTTTTACCAACTATACTTAGGTTTAAAGATATAGATTATAGAACGCAAAGTATTCCCTTAAAAATCCCATACATAATCTGATTATATCTAAAGCACATTCCCTTTGCACAAGGTATTTATTGAGCCGGGCTTTAAACTGCATCTGGAAACTTTTGTTCCCAGACAAGATCAAGTCATGACGCATAGGAAATATCCGGCACAAGCCTGGCATACTAATTGGTCCAATCAATAGGGCTCGAAGAGGCATTGGCCCGGAGATAAAGAAAAAGGGTATCCAGAAAAGCTGCAGTTTATCGACGGGGGCAAAGTGTCCGGGGATTAGTGATGTCATATGGATTATACTCCAGTCTCTGACGCGATTTTGAGCTGGTAATGCGACATTAAGCCGTGTGTTATATTTACTCACCGTGACACGGCTGAAAACTGTTCACTTAATTGGCAATAATTGCCGGCGACTAAACGGGTTCCAAGCCAATGGCATTGGGGTACTATCAGTAGTGACCCAAAGAGTATATTTCTAGTGGAATGCTTGGGGTATTTTCCTCCTATACTCTAGTATGTGACCTTTGCTCCAATCTCTCTCTCGGTCTCGGTCTCCCTTTCTGTCTCTATTAATTCTGTGTACTAATTGCAGTTACTAATATGTTTTACCTTTAGTTCGATGCCTACCTGCGATCGCTGTCTCTCCACGATACGGAGATCAAGCTGGTCACGGATGGACAGCTGCCGCTGAGGCAGTGCCTTCATCGGGAGGCCAGTGCCAAGGATGTGGAGCTGCCTACGTACTACAATCGCTTTAGCGATCTGCGCAAGGAGTTTCTGCGCTACAAGTCCGGTGACCTTGCCCGCGCCCTTGTTCCCGTCAAGGATGTGAAGAAGATGCTGCAGGCGCCGACGGCGCCCATGCCACAGTCCATCGCCGAGATGCTGGGAGGTGAGTCTTTGCTCTTGAAAGCTTTACTTTACTTTAAACTAATTTGTTGGGAAAAACTACATATCATTTGTAGGGTTTACAAAACTCCCATATGTATAAAAATATCATTAAATTCGTTAGTCAGGAATATAAATTAGAATTTCCTTTGTCTTTATATTTATTTAAATTTCCCTAAAACAATGCTTTCCCCAGAGCTATATAGCTTCTTCTAGGGTAATATAATCTTAGTCAAAAGCTTATAAATATGTGAAGGAGTCGTTTCCGACCCTATAAATCATATATATTCTTGATCAGCATCGAAAGGCGAGTCGATCTAGCCATCTCAGGGACAAATAAAAAATTTTCAATTTTTTGAAAATTTTATAAGGGGTTATCGTCGTTAAAATGTTCAAAAATTGAAAAATTTTTAAATATTTTAAAATCTTAAATTGAGTATGCAGATTTATAAACCTTATAAAAACTAACACAGAACAGTTTTCTGATTGAAAATTAATGCAGTTTTGGCAAAGTTGTGATCGATCCAAGTTGCAAGGGTATTCAAACTTTAGCCTTTTCGTTTTTCCTAGAAAAGGTTGTTATTTCCGATCAATTTAATGAATTAATAATTATTTTTAAATGATTAAAAAATACTCATTATCCTCTGTTTTTCGCTCTCAGATCTCAACACTTCATCGGTGGAAGACAACGACTTTTACATACGCGAATCTCGCGACATGGTCACTGTGATCCAGACACTGCTACAGGCAGGTGAGTACCCTCAAGTCAAGCTATTCCCTTTAAATCCCATCTAAACAATTATTACCTCTAAATGCAGGTCACAAATTTGCTGCAAACGAGTTGGTCAACCTGGTACTGGAACCTGGAATTTGGTGAGTTTGCAAGCTTTGGCTTTGAGCTAGTTCCAGCCAGCACAATGACTCCACTCAAGCCCCCTCTCAGCTGATCCAAGCACCATGTCGAGCGTAAAATACTCAAAACTCAAACTCACTCATAGCGATCGAACCCATAAGAAAGCCACTCGAGACCTGAGACACCCGGACCCACGAGGCGGCCCCCAAAACCGAGCTGGGAGCGTCGTCTTCTCAGTCTACGTTTGGCTTGGAAGGCGATAAGAGCTCAGTGTGGCAAGGGATCGGTCTCGGTGCTCAGCGTTCAGTGCTCGGTTCTTAGTTCTCAAATCGGATCGAATCGGATCGTATTGTATAGTATCGGATGGCATCGCAACGGATCATAGGGAACGTTTCTGGTTATCGCCTTGGAAAATTTCAGCTACCTACCTAAAACAGCAGTCTATAAAATATTCAATTAACCAGAGCAAGGGCTAGGGCGAGGGCAAGAGTGTGTGAGAGGTAACCTCCAAGTTCCTGGCTTTAGAATGGCAATTTTCTGAAACTCCTTGTCGGATTATTCATGTTTTTATTTGTTCGCGCAGCTCGTTTGGTTTTATTTTCCATTTTTCTTTATACATACATTTTTTGTGTTATTTGCTGGCTGGCCCATTTATGCATGACATTCTGCTTAGTGGTAGTATGTGTGTGTTTGGGAGAGTCAGCAGAAAATGTTTATGCGACTCGATAATCGCCAAGAACTCTGGCTGCATGGCGGAACGTGACTGCGACGCCGTTTTCCCAAAAGGCTCCATCTCCAGCACACGTGTTGCATAAGGATAGGCAGCACTTTTAGTTACTTACTTACTTACTTACTTACTAACCCCTTGTGCCCTTTTTTCCTGCAGCTCAATTGACGACGAGATCGACGGCAACTGCATAGTGCGGGCCAGAGGATTGCCCTGGCAGAGCAGTGACCAGGATATAGCCAAGTTCTTTCGCGGCCTCAACGTAGCCAAGTGAGTGTGTCCGAGATGTGTGTTGTGAAAAACCCCCCCAATAAAAACCAACTCAAAACCAAAGTTAATCCAATCGAATGCAACCCATTGATAAGCCAGTTCATGGGTCACACCCGTCGCGATTACAAGCGACCTACTTTATCTTCCAATTTGATTTACATTCTGCCTCTTTTCCAGGGGCGGCGTGGCACTCTGCCTCTCACCGCTGGGACGGCGGAACGGCGAGGCCCTCATTCGCTTTGTGTCCCAGGAGCATCGCGACATGGCACTCAAGCGGCACAAGCATCACATTGGCACCCGGTACATTGAGGTGTATCGGGCCTCTGGGGATGATTTCCTGGCCATTGCCGGTGGAGCGTCCAATGAGGCGCAGGCTTTCCTCTCCAAGGGCGCCCAGGTGATCATTAGGATGCGGGGTTTGCCCTATGATGCCACCGCCAAGCAAGTGGTGAGTATATAAAGTATATAAAGATATAGAACAATGGATTTGATTCAGAGCAGGCGCTTATGGGTTTCTATTTCCATTTCTTATTCTATGAAATTATTTGAACATTGAATGAAATTGAATTGTTTGATTCAGTCCAAGTACTTTTAATATGATTTCTTGTAAGCTATATACTTTATTTCAAAGAAATACCTAAACAGATGTAACTTAGAATGAAACCATAAACTTACTACACATAAGATTAGTATCAGAGCTGTATTAAAATCTAAGCTTTTACTAAGAAACTAGCTTAGTTACCCTTTGTTACGATAATACAAATAATAAAACCAACTAATTAATTATGTTTCTCCCTTTTCCAGTTGGATTTCTTCACCACTGGCGATACGGCGCCCTGTCATGTTCTCGACGGTAGCGAGGGCGTGCTGTTTGTGAAGAAACCAGACGGACGGGCCACCGGAGATGCCTTCGTTCTGTTCGCCCATGAGACGGACGCACCCAAGGCTCTGGGACGGCACCGCGAATCCATCGGGCAGCGGTACATCGAGCTCTTTCGGTCTACAACCGCTGAGGTGCAGCAGGTGCTCAATCGATCGATGGATCCCAAGAACTATGAGTCGGGCGGCAATCACAGTCAACCGCCGCTGATCGCCCAGCTGCCGACGATGCAGCTGCCGCTGCTGCCGCAGGTGGGTGCCCACAGCCTCGGCCACAGCCTCGCAGCCACACAGACAGCTAACCTCTGCCCTCCGGTGCCCCATGCCGCTCTCACTCTCCCCACACAGCACCTCATCACCTCGGGCACCACCAAGAACTGCATTCGGCTGCGCGGACTACCCTACGAGGCGATGGTCGAGCATATACTCCACTTCCTGGATGACTTTGCCAAGCACATTATCTACCAGGGTGTGCATATGGTGATCAATGCGCAGGTGAGTCTAGGAAATCAATATTAGCAAGGAATTTTTAAGATAACTTTCATGATTCTGTTACAGGGCCATCCGAGTGGCGAGGCCTTCATCCAAATGGACTCGGAGGACTCGGCCCGTTTGTGTGCCCAGCGCAAGCATAACCAGTACATGGTCTTCGGCAAGAAGTTCCGCTACATCGAAGTGTTCCAGTGCTCCGGCGACGACATGAACATGGTCCTCAATGGCGGCCTGGCCTCCCCAGTGGCCCAGCCGCCGCAACCTCATCACGCTGGCCATGCCCATAAGCAGACCTCGCTGCTGGCGGCCACCTCGGGTATGTTTAGTTCGGCGGCCGGCGGTCAGTCGCCGACGGTTAGCTCTACCGCCGGTTCAGTTGCCCAGTCGCTCAGTCCGCTCAGTCCGCTGGGCGGCTCCCACTCACACAACACGCACACTCATCCCCATACGCACCCGGGTCACGCCCACTCGGCGGTAGCTGCTGCAGCCGCCGCTGCCGCTGCTGCTCATCATGGATTGCCACCATCCTCGGCCTTGCTGCCGAATCTTTCAGCCGCCGGTGGATTGGCTTCCTTCATGGCCGCTCAACCCTCGGCGGCTGCTGCTGCTGCTCATAACGCTGCCTCGCTGCAGAGTGCAGCGGTGGCCCTGGCTCCCCCAAGCTACTCCATCAATCCGTTTTCATTGCCGCCACCAGGAACAGCGGCAGGAGCAGGCTCCACGCCCGCCCTGCTGGCCCAACAGCAGGCCCAGTTTATTGCCCAGCAGAGTCTCCTGGTGCGCCAGCAGGCGGCGGCAGCTGCTTTGGCTGCCGAGCAGCAACAGCAGCAGCAGGTGCAACAGGCGCAACAGCAGCAGCTCTATGCCAGCGCCATGCTGCAGCAGCATCCGCATCTGTATCTGCAGCACCAACAGGCGCAGCAGCAGCAACAGCAGCTTTATGCCAGTGCAATGCTGCAGCAAGGCCACCAGCCGCAGTTTGTGCTAATGCAACGTCCTGCGGCTGCTTATCTGCCGCCCTTTCAGTTGGGCTATATGCCCACCGCTGCTGGGGCAGCAGCAGCAGCAGCTGCAGCTGGAGCGGGCGCTGGAGCGGCAGCGGCAGCTTCATCCGCCGGCTCCACGGCGGGCAGCTCCATGAAGCGTTCGTATGAGAATGCCTTCCAGCAGGATGCAGCCGGAGCAGCAGCGGCGGCCAGTGCGGCTAAGCGGGCTCTGACCCGTACGCCCAGTAGCGTTTATTCCTACTACAATCCGGGCATATAGATAGGGATCGGGAGATATTATATCCCCCAAAAAATCTCCAGCACTTCGGGCACATTCCGCGAGTGGGCGATGGGTGTTGTTCGTTCGTTCGCTCGTTCATAATATGCGAAAGTTAAACCCGCATTTAAAAGCACACACACATACATACCACATATTTAGTAACCATATATCACATATATCATATATATCATATGTACCATTGTGGCAACACTCACACACCTGCATACCAGACATTCTCTAGAGCTTAATTACCAACTTGGAACGTAGACTTAAGTACTTTTCTTGTATGGAGTACTCGTAGTAGCCTAAGCATACTTGTCTATGGTCTAAGCGAATAATACTTACTATAATCATATATATATATAATATGCCAAGGGAATTTACCAGATCTGATCAAGTGGTTTAAGGAACTATATAACAAGTTTTACAGATATATCTTTGTATCTACCTGATGTTGGTAATATTTCAAGAGTTATACATCACCTGATCAAATCCGGGGAAAAACCCTTAAACCTTATACACACACGTGGGCACACACACACACGCACACATACTGAAGCACTGCTCACCCACACACATCTGCATTTTGTACAATGGGCTAACCCAAAGGGAATTTAGAAAAAAAAGGGATTCAAAAGTGTCCTGTGATCACTTGTGTTCTACTTAGCATTTCACAATCTCAAATTCTTAAACGCTTGGTGTTTGTGTGTGCAGGCGTGTGTATCTAAGGCAGAGGGGGGAAGGTCAGAACTATATATTTATATACCTATATAGTATATATAACTTGTCCGTCCCTCCCAACCGATTCGAAGGCAATCAACAGAGGCTAACGTGGTTCATGGCGAGAGGGTGGCCTCTCTATTGGCAGTGCAATCTAATTTTAATGTTTACTCCCCCCTTTTTTGGAAGAACCTTCCTTCTCCTTTTACAAGCCCCAAGATAGCCAAGCTCCCGCCATGAACGACGTCAGGTGTTGGCTCACGCGCATATTTAAGCTGAAATTTTGAAACCGAAACCCAAATCCAATATAAATATATATCGATACGATACCGAGAACTGTTTACGGGCTAAGCGAGTCTATATAAACATTCATATATAGACGATATAATGATACCCAGTTCTTGAATAACATTCGATCGGTGGAGTCAGTTGTGTGCCCATCGATTTATACACATATATATTTAAACATTTATACATGCTAGATGTAAGATGAGAATGATAATGATGATGAAATGGCAAGACTTGTCCCCTGCCTCTCTCCATGGCCGCTAACTAATTAATCAAACAATTATTAATAATGATAATCTCATCGTTTTGACTTGCAATACCCTATAAATAGTGCCTAGATCTAGATGGTGTAGCTCTTAAGTGTGCGTAACTGGTGTTAGTCGCAAAATGGGATAGTACTCTCTATACCTATCACTCTCTACTCTATACAGATATAGATATATATCTCCCTCTCACTGTCTGTGTGTGTGTGTTCTCTGTCATCACTAATTTAGTCTCGGGATCAACTAGAGATACTCTATCTAAAGCTTGTTGTAAGTCTTGGGTCCGCTTTAGTGTCTAAACAAACATACATATACATATATAGATAGTGTGTGCGTGTGTGTCTAGTCTGGATGGATAACTGGTGAATGGTGAATCGGGTTTACATCCCCTTTACACACACACACACCACCAAGCTTCCTGTCTGCGTCCTTCCAAGAGGGAGTTCCCCCCTGAGATCCCATCCTCTCTGCTCCTCCTCCTGCTACTGCGTCTAACACTCAGTTCCGCTCGGCTTGGGACTATATCCAAGTATGTTATATCGAGCTTGGCAAGAGAAAGGCATGGGGAAGTTAGCCAGCGCCTAGCCTAATCCTTAGCCTAATTTAACCTTATAGTCTTAGTAGTCTTATGGCAATCGAGTGGCTTCCGAGCGGGTTCTGTGGCCACTTTAAACAACCAACACACACATATAATCAATAATATCTCTACTTAACTAGTTTGTACGCACAAAAGGCAAACACTTTTAATGTTTTTTCTCTGGAAACATTTTTTACAATTTTTGATATTCCATTCTTTTTATTACCATTAGATGTTTAGTGAAACAATCTTTGATTAATTTTTTACATCAATAAAAATACGACATACCGCCTACGCTCTCTCTCTCTCTCTCTATCTATCTATCTATATCTTTTATCATCCCTGTCGCTCTATGTGTGTGTCTTATATCTCGACGAGTAGAGGATAATAGATCGATCTAACTAATACAACCCCCCGCCCCACGAAAAAATAAGTCATTTAATGGGTTAAGATACTCCCTACTAACCCCAAATGTGAGACCGATTCTCCTGGACAGTAACCCGTAACTCCCCTATAATATCCCTGATCCCGTGACCCACACCATACACCCCCTCATAGACACACCCTCTATATATTATATGTACACATGTAACTGGGGTATCCGGGGCTTGGGCTTAGCTTTTACACTCGATCGCGTTTTCAGCGGACTTTCAGTGGATCTAATGGAATCGGAGTCGGCATATGGCGTGTGTAATTGGTTTCTGTTTCCGTCACTGTTCTAGCTGCATATATATAATATATTTATATATATTCGGTGCTCTCGTAACTTTAAGTGGAATGTCCATCATGATCGTACTAGTCCATAGACGCATCCTGTATGTAACTCGGCGCAGTTGTCCTTCGGGTGCATAATATCAATACGGCCACTCTTGAGGGGCCTGGTGCTTGGATTAAAACAATATACTCGTACAACAATCGACTCAAAATTACTCAACAACAAACAATCAACAATCAATTGGCTAAAAACATGTTCCAAATTTGTACTTGTACTCTCGTTGTGCGCAACTGTTTTCATGGTCTCTGGTGGTGAGGTGGTAAGATACTCGTTCCAACTACCAAGTACTATATATATATATGTCTCTCCTACCATTGCAATGTCTAAACGGTGAGTGATTGAATACGATTTTCCCCCTGCTAACCCCCCAAAAAAAAAACCTAAAACCCCACCGACTAACCCCACTAGCTACGGAATTAAGATCACTAACTAACCAAAGTAACCCAAGAGAAAAGGAACTATAAAGCGAATAGATAAAAGCTAGGAACCCAAGGATCTGCTGTATATCTTGTATATGTCAAGTCATACTCACAACACCAATTACCCCTTACCAATTACCAATAGCTCCCCCAGCCTCAGAAATACCCTGTTTTTCGCTAGTTATCCCCCTGGAAATTTGAAGAAATCTGATCTTATAATAACCTATTATTTATTTTGTTTCCTCGTCTAGGTGCCGCTGTGCTGGGCGCTCATTTTGGTGCTCCATTTCCCGCCTATGGAGCAGGTCCGCCGCCGCCACCTCCTCACACTCCGCTGCTGGCCACGCCTCGATCGCACCACCACCCACACCACGCCCATCCCCATTCGCATCCGCACCACCCGGCGTCGGCCTTCTATCCGCCTCCACTTGTCTACTGGCCCTACCCAAGTCCGCCCGTCTCGCCCACAACTTACTTCAGTCAGCCGGGAGCACATTCGCCATCGCAACCTTTGGTAAGAAATTTAAAGCTATTATAATACGATATGATAGGGATATCAAGCACTATAATAGCTTTGAATACTGTAGCAAATGCTAAAGCAAAGATGGCATTAAAGAGTTCTGAAATTGATTGGATTTTTATTAATTTGTAACATTTTCGTAAATCTTAATACTACCCTTTTTGGGTTTTGGTCATTTTAGTTCGAAGCTAATAACTATGTGAAGGAGTCATTTCCGACCCCATAAATTATATATACTCTTGATCAGCATCTACAGACGAATCTTTCTAGCTATCTCCGGCAGAAAATAAAATTTTTTAATTTTTTGAAAAATTTATAAGGGGTTACATCGTTAAAATGTTCAAAAATTGATAAAAAATTGATTTTCCTAAAATCTTAAATGTAGTATGCAGACTTATTAATATATTAAAAACTAACATAGAACAGCTTTTTGAATTCAAATTAAGCCATTTTTGGCTTAGGTATGATATTTTTAAACTTTGATTTGTTCAAAAATATTGACATTTTCAGCTTAGTTATGATCGATTTCCGATTCCAACTCATAATTTAATTGCTAAGCTTGCTTTTTAACTGGATCTAAATATCTTTATAAATGTGTAACCTATTCTCTCTTAAGACACACATGGCGTATACTTAATTTAAGTGTTTTCACATTAAGTATACGCCATGTATGCGAGATTTTTCTTAAATCGAAGACGACTTTTATACCCTTTCAGGGTATTATAATTTTAATCCGAATACTATATTCAATACTATTACACATAACCTAACATTAACAAACTCTCCTCCATTTCAGTATCCTCTGGACTTCTTTCCGCCTTCGCCACTATCGCCACCTGGTGTGGCCATACCCCACACCACCGCCGGCCTGATACTCACGCCCACCAAGACAGCGGTGTCCTTTGTGCCGGGCGCTAGGCAATTCCCCGGCAGTGGGTCCAACTCCAATTCTAGCTCCAGTTCCAGCTCCATTTCCGGTTCGGGATCTGGTTCGAGCAAGATGTCCGTGCCGGCCATTGCTGTGAATGGATTAGCAAGTGAAGGGGCCACGTCCACAGGGGAAACAGGATCAACTCAGGAGGCGGAAGCAACATCCTCTCAAATGCCGCTTAGCATAGATACGAACCATGCCACGGCTCCGCCAGCGGCAGCGGCAACAGCGGCGCCTCCCTTAAAGACGGGCAGCCAAGGAGCCGGCGGAGTGGCCGCTGCCACGCCCCTAGTGACCAATTCCTGCGTGGAGCTCTACATCTCATAGGAGTCCTGGAGGACAGCTAAGCTAAGCTCCTTTTTTCTTGCCAAACGAAGAAACTTGACCGTAGTCCAGTTAAGAACCCCGCTCTAGCCCAGTTGCACACCCAAGTGGTGAATAAGCGAAAATGCGGCGAATTGAAAGCGGAAAAGGAAATCGAAAAATCTAAAATTTCAAATTTAAATCCAAAAATGGCAAAAGAATCTCGCCGCTGTCTCATGAATTTGCGCATCCATTGTAGTGCTAAGTAGTTAGACGCCTCCGCCCCCCCCCCCCCCAGTGCAATCCATTCGATGTTCTATTTATTCCACTGCTGCATTTCCGGTCTGGAATGCTATCCAAATATAAACATTAGCAAATAATTAGCAAAAAAGAAAAAAGGAAAACACATGAAGCAAATACGACAAATTTATCCCTAGTCAATAGTCAAATTATTTATACAATTATCTATTTGTAAAGACCAAGCATGTTAATGTTATTGAGATAGAGAGAGTCGCCTAGTTTTTATCCCTCAAATATCAAATATTGTTATTATTATTATTCTCGTGCACGCAGAGACCCAGAAGACAAACGTTTCGCTTGTTGTTATCCCATTCAAAAAGATATTATCGATTGTTCAAATGAAATATATATATATATATATATTACATAAATAAATATTAAAATACATGTATTTAAAAGTTGCAATCACAATTTATTAACACAGTAGCAATCGTTTTAGCATTAATTTCACACCGCCGGATGCAATTACAAATCAATTAATGCCACTATCGATAGACAGCAGATGCGACACATAGATATATATTTATGTATATATACAATATAGTGGTGTATGTTTAAGGCGACATCATAAATAATCCCGGGGACACTGATAAATCGCTGACAAATGGCGTTACAAACGGACGAAAGTCCCACCGACCCGTTGAAAGGACACGGTCGTTGTGAACCATCATCCGGTCGCACCGTACCATTACAATCATTTAAAATAGATTAAAAATCGTCGCAGGTGAGCGGTTTTTTCGCCAGTTAGTTCCTATGCACACCATCATTTGCTGCTGCCAGCTGCCAGGACATCCTCCAGCTTTAGCTTCCTGCAGCCAGCAGCCAGCATCCTGCATCTGCATCCTCACATGATAATTTATCAAGGCTCTGGCGCCGACGCTGCTGCAGTGGACACATCCAGGCGCCGCCGAGGAGAGCCTATCAAAAGGACATTAGGCGTGCCGCTCCGCTGACAAGTTGGCCTGCAAGGGAAGTAAATGAAAAAGCGTCGGTTAATGCGACAAGACCAAGGGAAAATATGAGCAAAGAGGGGGAAAGGTTAAAAGTTATACTTGTTTTTTTTCTTCTTACATTTGGTTTGGTTTTCCCCCCGATTTTCCCTCGGTTTTCTTTATGGCTGCACACTCGACTAGGCACAGAGATTCTGGCCTGCCCTGCACTTCCTCTAATGGCACGGAAATGGCCGTATAAATCTCATTTGTAATCGCAAAGCCAAAAAAAACTATCGCCAGACAACGCCTAAAGTAGGCAGCTCCCCAATAATGGTTCCCCCTTTCTGCCAAAAAATAGAAGAGTTGCAAAACTTTGCGGCACCGCTGCCACTCGAAACTAAGTCAATAAAAAATGTAGTGCACTGGGAATGCAATAATAGCACCCTGAACCCAGCAAACGGCATGGAGTACCCCCGAGGAGGCACCGAAAGGCGGCATATTTTCGTCGACTTAGCGACTGTCGTCGCCGCTGCCAGCACCGCTTCCGTTTTGGTATTAAGCCATCGAAACTTTTATTGATTTAGGGGATTTCGTTGCGTTCCAGCGAGCATTTCAGCTGACAGGACAGGCCTGCCAAAAAAATAAAGAGATTCACTTTGCATTTGCTTCAATATTAAAGCTTTCAAGGATACAAACCGGGAGAGCTCCTAGCTCTTAGTTTTAAAAGAAACCTATAAAAATTAATTGAAAAAAAAGCTTATAATTCTAACATTAACTTATGAAAGTTTTATCCTTTAAAAATACCAGAGATTTTGCTTAAAAGCCTAAGCTCTTAACCACTTTTTGGTACCTTAAAAGTAAAACAACAAACTTAAAGAAATCCCTATTAAAGTATCCTGCCTTTCACCTTAAATGTGAAACATCAACCTTATAGAATACCTTATTAAAGTATCCAGCTTTTCACTTTAACTGTGAAACAACAAAACTAATTTAAAGGCTCACAAACTGTTTTCCCCACACCTGTTCCCCCATGTCCTTGCTAAAGAGTTCAAACAAACACGAAGCCCCCCTAAACACCTGCCTGGCAATTTTTGACCAAATATTTGCCCAGTGCCCC